TGTTATCATCATCATCATCAGTTCTCGTTATGCCTAGTGGCACATGAGACTTCAGAGAGTACTTTTCATGCTTTCCTGTCCTGTGCAATCTTTAGTGCTGTTTTCCATGTCAAAGATGCCGCATTCAGCTCACTTTCCATCGTTCGTCTCCATGTTGTTTTTGGGCGCCCCTGTTTTCTCTTTCCCTCTGGTGTCCATGTGAGAGCTGTTTTGGCGGGTATATCAGGATTCATTCTTATAACGTGGCCAAGCCATTTCCATCTTCTCTTGGCTATCATATTGTCTAAAGTTTCTTGGTTTGTGACTTCAAGTAGTTTAGTGTTTGAGATTGTATCTGACCAGAAAATATTGGTAATTCTACGTAGACATGTGTGGTGGAAAGTGGACAGCTTGTTTGCATCCTTTTTGGTCATTCTCCAGCATTCCGCTCTATAAAGAAGAACTAGCAAAATGATGCTCTTGTAGAGTCGGAGTTTCGTTCCTCTGCAATAATTGTTGGATTTCCAGATTTGCCTCATCCGTCCAAAAGCAGCTCTAGCTTTGTTCAGACGTAACTGTATGTCCTCTTCGGTCCCTCCCGGCAGGGACACCACACTGCCAAGATATGTGAAATGTTTGGTTATTTATGGTCACTGGTTGTTGGTTTGAACTGCTTGTCATGATCTTAGTTTTCTTTGTATTTATTCTCAGTCCCACCATTTCTGCTGTGCTGTGTAGTCTGTTACTTTTTTTCTTGTATATGTTCATGTTTATGTGATAGGAGTGCTATATCATCTGCAAAATCAAGGTCCTCAAGCATGGTGAATGGAGTCCATCGTAAGCCTCTCAATGTCCTGTCTACCGTGTTCTTTAGTATCCAATCAATCACAAGGTTGAAGAGGAGAGATGACATAACACATCCCTGTCTTACACCTGTCTTTACTGGGAGAGATGTATTATAATTTTTTATACTGCACGAAAAGTCTTTATAGAAAAGAGCAATTATGTTGACTATTTTTTCTGGAATTCCATAATGTCGTAAAATTTTCCATAGACTGTCTCTATGGACGCTGTCAAAAGCTTTCTCAAAGTCCACAAAATTTTTATATATATACTTCTCTGCCGTTCATTGCATTGTTTTAAAATGTTACGTATGGCGAAGATGTGTTCAGTTGTTCCTCTGCCCTTTCTGAATCCTGCTTGTTCCACTTGTAGGCATTTATCTACTCCTTTTTTAAGCCGCATTATGATGATTTAACAAAATATTTTGCTTGGTACTGAGAGTAGAGTAATTCCCCTCCAATTATTGCAATCTGTTAAGTCTCCTTTGGGGGGGGGGGGGGGGTTTGGACTATTGTACCTTAAGTCCAGTCATCAGGCAACACTTCTTTTTCCCAAATATCCTTGAACAATGGTTCTAGAATGCTAGCAGTTGTGTTGGGATCTACTTTGAGAAGTTCTGCTGGCAGTTCGTCTTTGCCTGGTGCTTTGTTGTTCTTTAAAGTGTAAATAGCTTTAATGATTTCTTGTTTGCTTGGTGGTTCAGTAATAATGTCAATGTCCTGAGAGGCTGGTTGAATATCTGGGGGATTTTCAGGATCAGGTCTGTTCAAGAGGTCGGACAAGTGTTTAGTCCACTGCATGTCTTGTTTTTGTTCTGTGGTGAGCAGTCTGCTTTAGTTATCTCTTATGGGTATGCTGTGATAATTGTTTCTGCTTCCGCAAATTTGCTGGGTAATTTTGCGTAGGGTTTGTAGATCATGTGCTTCAGCAGCATTTTCTGCTGTTTCTGCTAGATTTTCCATAAATCTTCGTTTGTCAGCTCTGGCACTTTTCTTAACCATTTTATTTAGTTCGCTATATTTTAACATTAGTTTGTCTTTCTGACGTTCTGATTTAGTGTGATTTGTGAGGCTCTTTATTCTTTTTCGCTTGGCAATATAGTCCATGGTTTGACTACTTATCCATTCTTTGTGATGTAGTTTCCTGGTTCCTAATATGTTGTTGCTAGTTGATTTGTATGTTTCTTTGATCTGGTTCCATCTGTCTTGAATGCTGATTGCATTTTGAGTGTCTGGGTCACTTGATAGGGTTTGAAATCTATTCTTGAGTTCTACTATAAATTTAGTTGCAATGTCTTTTTCTCTTAATAGGTTAACACTGTAGCGTGCTGTCTGTGTTTTAACTTGTGTGTGAACTTATTTGAGTTTAAGTCGTATTAGAGTAACTACAAGGTGATGATCGCTTCCTACGTCTGCTCCCCTTTTGACACGCACATCGAGTAGGGACCAACGTCATTTTCTGTTTACCATGAAATGGTCAATCTGGTTTACATCTCTTCTATTTTGGGGATATCCTTGTAAGCTTGTGTATATTCTTGTGAGGGAACAGTGTTCCTTCCATAACACGTCTGTTCGCCGTGCAGAAGTCGCTCAGTCTGTCCCCGTTGTCATTAATTGTACCATATCCTTGATTTCCCATTGATAGTTCTCTATTCAAGTTGTTGTTATCAACTTTTGCATTGAGATCTCCCATAATGCATAGAATATCATGGGCTGGTACTTTATCTACTACTTCTTGTAGTCTCCTAAAGAATATTTCTTTATCTTCATCTTCAGCTTCATTAGTCGGTGCGTAGCATTGGATGATTGTAAGTTTGGCATGTTTCCCATTGAATCGTGCTGTCATAAGTCTTTCATTAATTGGATGCCACTCGATGATTTGTTTGTGCATACCTTTCTTTAAAATGAGTGCCACGCCTGCAGAATGAAGGTTATCATCTCTTCCAGAGTATATTATGGTTTCTCGTGTACCTGTTGTGGATTGTCCAAACCCTGTCCACCTGCTTTCACTAATTCCAAGAATATGCAGTTTATAGTTCTGCATTTCTTTAATTACTTGGGCGGTTTTGGCAGTTTCAAACATGGTTCTTACATTCCAGAAGCCAATTCTTAATTTGGTTTTGACATCCAGCAGACTTGTTTTCCCATCATGGGCTTCCTTTCGGCTTTCACCCATGTTGTTCATGCTGACAGAGGGACTCTGTCTCAAGACAGCCGGACGTTTAGAGCACTTATTTCCTCTTGAAGTTTCAGTAACCTTGTAGATTCTGGCTATCCTCCGTGACTCCAAGTGCGCAATGACCCGTGACCGCGGCTTGGCTGGATATTTTGCCGCCGCCATCTTTGCCGACCGTTTGTCGGAGGATAGCCTAGATTTTTAACAGGGCAGAGCTGTCAACACTGCGCCCAACCCCCGAGCCTGGAGGACCGGGAGGCCATCTTTAGTCTGGCCCCTGACCAATGACCTGTCCGGCTTGGGTAACCCTGCCAGGAACATACGTTCTCGCCGGCATAGCTCATTAGATCATTGAGGCTCTCAAGCTCCTCCACCACTACAAGGTAATGGGCTCTAAGGGGTGGCTCTGTTATCAGCATATCTCTAATTGTTTATTATTCTTTCGTTGAGGTCCAGACAAGTTTCCAACCTGTTTCAAAATGGGGAAATACGGCGGTATCTCGGAAATCGGGCGCTTCACAATTCTAGCAACTTCGAATGCGAACGAAATGTTCAAAACAATTTTTTCATGGAATTTGAACACCACCTTGTAAACCAGGCCGTTGCCAACCACCCGCTACCGCACGCTCTAGTTTGTCTTAGTATTAGTTAGTTAGTTAGTTAGTTAGTTGGGTTATCGTCATTGCACTCCGGACATGTCCATAGGTGCTCAGATCCTCCCCTCAGTATGAACCCCAACGTCCGATGGCTAATAGTACCAGTTCTATGTTGATTAACAAGTCTTCTGACGTGTCCGGTGTGCGTCTCGTTTTTTGCTGTGCCGATCTTAATTCCCAAGTCTGCCATTCTGGCGAGTGATGTGGATTCACTGCCACCAAAGTCCTCTATCCTTCCCATTTCTCTGAGGGCATTAATAATATCAGCATGATCCATAGGCCGACCGTCGGTAGTGATAGCGGATCCAGCCAACCTGTCAGCTCTTTCATTTCCATCGACGCCTGCGTGTCCCGGAACAAAAATAAAGGTGACTCCACGCACAGTAGACTTCTGTAATGATTCAAGCCATTGTCTTCGCACTGAACCTGCCTGAACCCTCCGGATCATACTCATTGAATCACTGAGTATACATATGCGGGTGTATTTTTGTGTTTCAAGCCAGGCAAACGCTTGCGTCACTGCCATCACCTCCATCGTCATGCTGCTGGTTGTCATGGAGAAGGCACCGTTGGCTTCTTTGACTGTTCTGCCCGCTGAGCGTGCTGTAAATGCCCATGCGCTTCTTCTTTGGCGTATAACGGATCCGTCTGTGTAGATTAGTGCATCTGCTTCGTCTGAATTTTCACCGATGAGAGGTTGACCTCTGCATTAACAGCTACAGGATTCTCTTCTCTACATCGTCTGTTGAGTGTGACAATACAGGAAAATGTACAAATAAACGCCTGAGGCACAGGTATCCATTCTGCACCAGGTATGATGTCGGTTAGGCTGCATATTTGCCTAATAACATCTTCTGCCCGACCTAGTCACGATTTTCCCCTCTTCAGTCTGTCGCCCTTTTCACTAAAAAGCGCTTGATGCAGTGGGTGTTTCTTATCAGCACATATTTTGAGGTATGCCCGAGCTTTGTCTTAGTATGTTGTACCAAACGCGTCTCATCTCTTATAATAGGGGCTTTACAAAAAGCAAACAAATGCATCCTATATTAAGGCACTTTAATTTCTGCATTTGGTGAAGACACGAGTATTATATCAAATAATTTGTATATCAGTATACCCGTTACTAAGATACGGACACCGCCATCAATCCCAGATCGCCTTTGGTCACATCCTTGAACTTAATGCGCATGTGCGAAACAGCAGAAGAGTAGAAGTAGTTCCGGGTTTACTGTCATAAATTAAGAGTCAGAAAGCGGTGTTCAAAGTGAACCATCAGAGAACGTACCCTAAAATAAAAACAGTGCTCAACTTCCAGAAACAGGTTTATAATCATTGTCTGACAGGACTATGAAGAGGCCGCGTAATGTCGACTGCAGTAAAATTCGGCGTCCATTGAAGAAAAGCAAAATAACGGATGGTATCTACGGAAGGTAAATTAATTACTAAATAACTGCACAATTGAAAAGCTCTTCAGTTAGTTGTCCATCAATACACCGCCCACACTGCTCGACTTACTTAGTCTTAAGAACTTGGTCTTCACTGATTAGTGATAAGAGTAAATTTTCTTGGTTAATGTAAATGTTTACTACATATCCATGTGTTTATTGTTTTCCCTACTAAAATACGCGACTGACTGTGTCATTCATTCTGTGGTCACTGTTTAGTGACATGTTCAGTTAACTGCGCCTGTTTCTTTCGCCGGTGTATTATTAGTATTATGATCAGTATGATTAGTGAGAGTAATGACTAATAATCACAGCACTACGGACAGATGCATAGGTGCTCCAATCCCCCCCCCCCCTCTTTTCAGTAGCTCCACAACAGTAAAAGTAAAACGACTAATCACGTCTGTTCTGTGCTAATCAGTCATACGCCTTTGATGAAATGTTCATATCTGCACACTGGAGACTGCAGCCCCCATCCCCACCAACATAGACCATGATACCAGTCCTGCTTGTTGTCTTGATCTTCTCTGCAATATGCAACTCACCTGGCATTAGTGACATAATCCCTGTCCAGTGCTGGGCCATTTGTTGTAACTGACTTGTCCGCCTGATAATCTACACACTCACTGCATTGAACACCATCATCGTTTGACACAAAGATAAAGGTTAATGAATCATTCATGATGTATTTAATGAGAGAATCCATACTTGTCTGGTGAAGTTGGCCTGGATTTTCTTGATCATATTCATTGAGTCACCCAGTATGCAGGCTTGAAGAAATTCTTGAGTACCCAGCCATGTCAGTGACCATGTTTCAGCCACGGTCTCTATTGTGAGGCTGCTGGTTGTAACAGCAAAGTCCCACTCATCTCATTTATGGTTTATCCCTGTGCGCTCACACTGAACATCTGCGCACTTCGCTATCGCTGGTAGTTTATCATCCTAACTAAATATGCTATGACTTTGTATACTGCATATGAATGTCTAAAAACCCTGCTACAACATAAAATATTATTAATATAAAGATAAGATGAGATTTATGGAAGGATCCAGACACTTCAGAGATATAAGTCCTGCATAACTAGTCATCTTGCAGTTATGGCACGTAGGTATGATTGCTGTTGTTAGGCATAGCAAGTTTTTGTTCCATTGCATTTTCCTCCATTTGTAGACTGAGAGGTTATAGTTCCATCACCTAGCTGCTGAGTTGAGTGCATGGTGCAGCACTGTTAGCTACAGATTTCATTTTGAATACTTTTTGAAAGTGCTCAATATAATTTGTGTTGTCAACTGCAGATTCAGAAAATGGCATGTAGCCTGTTGCCGAGAACTGATGGTGCCTTATGCTTTTAACCATTAATGGTGTGTGCAACTGCTGGTCAGGTGTAACTGCTGCTTCCATCAGTGATAAGCTGCATTTCTGCAAGATTGTTTGTGTTTGCACCTCTTAAGGCTGCTTTATGCAATTAATGCATGATGTTGGCTTTTGCTGGGACTGCAGTCTGTGTCAAGTTTTTTTCACATGGAGGGAGGGAGGGGGGCAGTGAAGGGCATTCTGTGTGGCATAGGAACGGAGAAACTATGAGGTGACCTGTTTGCAGTGAAGTTGGAACTGCTATTACCTGAGTTCCCTTGCAGAAGAGGGTACAACTTAGTCAGATCTAAAACTGGTTTAAGAATTACCAAAGTAATGATTTAGCCATGTAGCATGTCAAGTATTCAACTGAATACCAGGTTTCTTCCAGTCCATCTCATGATATTGCCTACGCACATTTATGGTTGTCCTTCTCTTGCTTGCTTACTCGTGACCCTTCCCTCGAGCTGTACTCAGATTATTACCACTCAAGGATAGATACATCTACACCTTGGTGTAGACAGAATAATTAAAAATGAATGATTGAATTATTTAACTTCTATTATGGCTTCCAGAGCCCTATTTGGGGGCTAGAGGTGGAGGATTGGTGGGGGGGGGGGGGGGTCAGAATAGATGCGCTGCTCCATAACAAGCATATTATTAAAAGTTACTAATTAGAAATCAAATGGGTTAGGCGGAAGGAGGCAAACATTATAGCCTAGCAGTCAACCACAATATGTCAGCTACCCTGTTGAGCATGTTAAGGGTTAAATCAGAAGATAAAGCATTATTCAGCAATTGTAGGCAAGTACTGAAAAGTAAGGTGATATTTTCCTTGCTTTTTTTTCTTCTTTTTCTTTTCAGCACATTTCTGTATCTGAGATTTCTGTTGGTTTGGGTGCTTGTGCTGATGGCTGACTTCATACTGGAGTTTAGATTTGAGTATCTTTGGCCGTTTTGGCTAATGATTAGGAGTGTCTATGATTCATTTAAGTACCAAGGACTGGTAAGTTACGCTTTTTTTCATAAGTGTATAATTTTAGCCATGATATACATACAAACAAACACACACACACACACACACACTTACACACACAGACACACCACACACACGCACACACCACGCATGCGCACACACCATAATATAACACATGTATACATGGGCCCACGTACACACACAGCCACATACATGATTTTGGGTAGAGGAGCTTATATTTAAGGCAGGACAGATCATGCTCTTAGCCTTTATTGGCAGCTGGTCTAGGAACAAAACTTTGATGACAAACAGATTGCTGTCTGATTTGGCCATTTCTGCAGAATGCTTTTTTCATGTGTATTATTGCTAATGAATATTGGAACTAATGTGTATTGGTACCTAACTGTAATAGCACAGTGGAACAATATAGCCTGGAAGTCAGAAAGATGTCAAGAACAACATAACAACACCATCGCTGGATGATGTGAACATAACACCTACCTCCTTACTTTTCAGAACTTTACCTTCTGCCAATTTTAGGGTGGGCCTGTCTCAGAATTTATCTCTGTAAACATTTTTTTTCGTTTATTACATTTCCGTTGATGATATTCACTTCTTTTATTCAGATTTATGTACTGTATTTATTTCTTGGAAGTATGGATCAAAGGCTGTTGTTTGTAATGTAACTTTGGATGTTACAAAGTAAAGGACCCTTTTCCTTGTTTTCAGGCATATTGAGCATACAGTACGAGACCTGTATTTTATAGATCAGTCTGGCTTGGTGGGGGATATGATTTACATCATAGCAGGTGCCTTTATTTCCCAGGAATTTACTTGTACTCACTCCAGGCTGCACCTGAGAGCCAGGTCATATTTGAAGTCTGGTTCTGTTCGGATTCAATATTTATATATATATATATATATATATATATATATATATATATATATATATATTGTATGAAAATGCCAATCATTTTCTGTTGTTATACAACTGGAAATAATTTACAGTTCTTTAAAATAACTTGCTTTATCCTTTTATGGGTTTTCAGGCATTTTCTGTCTTCTTTCTCTGCATTGCCATTACATCAGACGTGATATGCTACCTTTTTATACCAGTACAGTGGCTCTTCTTTGCTGCGAGCACATATGTTTGGGTGCAGTATGTTTGGCACACAGGTAACTGTTATTGGCTTGTTCATTAGGCTAACCTGTTTTTGTTACATGCTGTGTTTTTGTGTGATGTCTGGGGTCTTTGTGGCAAAATGGTCAAGCCATTCACCTTGCGCTGTAAAGGTCATAGGTTCATTTCACTAACATGTTGTTCACATCATGGGTGCACATTTTACAGAGATCCCTGGGGATCATACCTAAAGCTGCAGAATTAGTTCTTCATGCACTACTCTTGACAGGAAGCTGGCCGTTCTCAGAAGAGAGACTGAGCCATGTGGGATGACCTCGTGTAGTAAGGTCACTTCTCTCAAATTTAACTTGACATGTTGTGTTAGTTGCTTCTGTCAGGCAGACTGGTTGTCATGTCGTCTCCATTTGTTTACATACAAATCTGAATTGAGATTTTGTTGTTTTATTTTAGTCTCTCTTATGTATTTCTTTCATTGATTCTCCTGTCTCTGCTAAGTGTAGATTCATGAATCTGTAAAACCCCATACAAGTAATCCACCGTAGACATTGCCACACAATTATTTAATGTTGTTATTTCACTTATGCTAGTTTATGACATTATGAATTGTGGGAACCAGCTCTCTTCATTGTCTTTCCTGTTCTAACATCTGGTACCAGTTCTGATTGGCTGGATTTACCTGAGAACCACGTCTGGTTGGAAAACTTCCCTCCTAAATTCAGATTTTATCTCAAGTGCAGGAGACCTAACTTTTGTTAGTTTCTTATATTTTTTTTCAAGTTGTGAACATCTACACTCATTTTAACAGCACTCTGGGCATTCTCATAAACACTTTGTCCTCATCTTCAGCAGCAAGCACAGAGTTCCAGTTCCAGTGGTATCAGTAACATTCTGATTGTATTTCTGTCTCACCTTTTCCCTGAGGGTTGATCATCGGCCAGATCCCTAGGTCACTCTTCGCTGTACTATCCTCCTCAGACCGTGATGATCCATCAGTGTCGCTGCACTGTTCATTCACCCCCCAAAAGGATCCTTACAACATCTAGTTTGTCATGCATCAGTTCACCACAAAGTTGTGCAGAACCAGCCAGTCTATCTGCCTGTTTATTTTCTAATAAACCGGCATATTCTGGAGAAAATATCCCAAATTTGACCATTAATTGTTACTGGCAAGCAGACTGTGTTTCAAATTGCCCTTTCAGCTTTACAGGAAGAGGAAAAATAAGTAAGTCTCTTTACATGCCAGTGGCACAATGGGCATTTGAGGCTAAACTCATATTTTTGTATAGACCAATCAGTAGGAGATGTGGTCAACATCACACCGGCCACCTTTACTTCCCATAACATTACCTGTTATCCATTTAAGGCTTTTACAAGAAGACAGAAGTAGTAATCAGATCCACATTCATGAAAAATATTGATCAGAACACACAGTCTTGGAAATCATAAGCGAAAGATAATAAATTAGCTCTCCTGTTCTTCCTAGCTATCACCGGCCGTAAACTCCCCTTAGAATGTTTTGGTGGTTTGTCCAGCTCTGGAGGACTTGGGTTTTATGTGCACTTCGGTTTTATAGATCTTGCTTACTTGTATGCATAGTGTTGTTTCCTCACCTCTTGTCACAGGTGCAGTCCTACCTTGAAAAAAAAAAAACCTGATTAGTTAGTTACCTTTTGTGACAGGCTTATTAGGGGGTCAGTGTTAGGGGGTCAGTGGGGCTTGTCCACCAAAATGGAGCCATGGAACCCACATGGAAATGAAATTAGCACATCAGATGAAATTATTATTTTCACTTTGATGTGTCTATCAAAGCTGTAAAACAGAGAGGAAAGGGAAGTGAGAAGCAACAACAAAATTTAGAATGTTAAAATTGCTCACTAATTACTAGCATCATTTGGGCTAAAAGGCTGCAAAGGTTGGAGCACACACAAAAAATGCTTACATGAAGCAGACTACGAAGACGGTGGAAAGATAATATACAGGCAGACATGCAAACACTTGGAATCACCACCTGGAAAGAAAATGCGTGTTACAGAGATTAACTGAAGCAAGTGATATCTTAGAGGCTCAGAATGCTAAAGAAGAAGTAGGTACATGTGTTCGTTTCTTAGCAAGAGTAAATTTTTGATGCTTTGTAGCCTAAATAAAATAAACTGGCGTGAACATGCATGATAAGCTAATACACTGAACAGTATGCTATTGCGGTTCATCATCATCATCATCATGTACCCTGTTGACTGGCGTAGCATTCATGCATCTCCACAGATCTCTGTCCCTTGTTCTCTGGATCACTTCCACCAATGATATCCCTCCATGCCACCGTCGCAGTCCATCCGTCATCATCTCTCTTGGTTTGCCTCTCCCTCTTCTAATGTTGATCTTCCCAGTCGTTACAACATTCTCCAAAGTTGCGGCTGCTTTAATTAAATATGACAGATTAAAATGTTTTGTATTTCAGAATGCAAAAAAGTGTATCATTATTTATCAGAAAAAGAATTTCTTGTAATCTGTTTCAGAGAGAGGCATCTGTCTTCCAACCGTTTCACTATGGCTGTTATTTGTATATATAGAAGCGTCAATACGGTTGAGAGAGTTGAAAAGTCTGCCATTCAATTTAGACCTGTGTAGACCTTTTGCATGTCACTGGTAAGTATAGTTTACTGTAAGTTAATATAAATCAATAGTTTTGAAGATCTTTCTATACAAGCTCTGGCATTTTCTGCCTCTATGGTGGTGATTGCTGCCTCTTTTGTCCCACTTATTCATTACTTGTGGAGACTGCCTGTTTATTTCTGCTGATCTTTCGTCAGTATTGGTGTGCTATGCTGCTTTATAGGCATCTATGGCTTAGGCATTGTGAATGCACTTCGTAATGCCGGGTTCGATCTCAGCTGCAGCCCTTGCGTTGGTTTCGACAGTGGTATCAGGAAGCCGACCATCCAGAAAGCAATGAGAAACTACTGCACATAAATTTGCCTTGAAAAAACCAAAACAGCTGACAAATGCGGTGTTGGTTCTGCAGTGTCCTGTCAAGGATACACAACTAACTATGCTGCTTTGGGGTAGTCTTGACTTGTGTTAAACTGTAAATGCAGGATCTGGTTTTACACCAATGTCACATCAGGCTTTGGCATAGTCTTGTTACATGTTTAACTGTAAATACATAATTATATTTATAATTAGTAGAACACCCTTTACCTGAGTGATAGATTATATGCATGCATGTTATAACTGGAGCCCTTTTAATGGAAATGAAATAGCAGGCTTCTTCTTGAAGTCCACGCTTGTGGTGTTGATAGTCGCACTTATCCACAGCCTTTTGTCTCGTGTAATAGCAGACTACCTAGAAAAATTTGGTGCAGTATACAACGGCCAAATACAGAATGCACCTATTAGGGAAAATAAAACCCAAATCAAGGCAGCCACTAGAACCTGTTGGAAAACTTCTCATCCAGAACCCAATCTTGAAAACTTGGTCAGCCTCTTCACATGAAAACTTTAGAGTATTGCATTTTGATTCTAAACTGGACCAAACACATTCTGTAGCCCTGTTAGGGATTGAAAACTTTACCCATGTGGACTGGCACCACATAATACTGAGCAGGTGCTGCAGATATACTATGTACATGCAGTAGGAAGATCCCAAGTGTGGCCATCTGGCATTCCATTGGAAATGAGGCTGTAAGGATTAGTGTAAGATATGTATTTTCCTTCTTCAGTTCTTAACTGTTGTCACTGTCCCTTATTTTGACACAGAAGTTATTGTAAAAAAACAGTTCCCTGTGCTTACAAGTGCTGGCTTAGTATTGTGGTTGTCACCTCAGAAAATTGGGTCTGTTTAGAAGTTAGAAAAACTACAATGGAAGTTAGAAAAACTAGAAAAGCTTCTCTTTCTTGGTCTCACTCTTTCCTAATGCCTCGTTCTCACTCTTTCTCTCTTTCCCTTCTGTTTGCTTTTTTGTTTTTCCTTTCTCTCTTTTTTCACTTACTCACTTTATCTCTTTGTTGTCTTCCTTTCTCTTCCTCTCCCTTCTTTTTTCCTATCTGTCTCTCAAATTTCTTTCTCTCCTTCTCTTCAACTCTCTGACATCCCACCTCCCTTTTATCCATCTCTTTCAGCCTCCCTCCCTCTCACTTGGTCTCTGCTCCCCTCTCACCCACTATCTCTCCATTATGTGTAAAAACTCATACAGTATTATAATATAGTTATTGTGTGACAGAAACTAACTTTCCTCTGCCAGTCAACATTGAATGAATGCAGATGTTTTTCATAAACAACTTTTCCTACTTTCAGCATTGGGTATCCAATGGTTACATTGGGATTTGGTTTCAAAAGCTATGTGTCCTACAGAATGAGATTAGTAAGTATGAGTTTTTTTGTGATGGAACTGTGTCTATATGTCTCTCAGATACAAGATAGATCTGTTTCCTCTTCTGGATGCTGCAAACATATCCCAGCAATTTTATGGGCTGTTTTGATTTTTCTGGACAATTTTGCTGTTTGTTATCGAGTTATGAGTTATCTTCACTGCCCTCAGGACACGTCCATGTGTGTGCTCAGATTGCCCCTTCAACATATATATCAGCTTCCTAGGGCTAATAGTGCCAGCGCTATGCTGGTTAACAAGACTGTGTACATCCTGTGTGCCTGTTATGCTTGGCTGTGCCAACCTTTACTCCCAATTCTTGTATTCTTAGCAGTGATATAGACCTGCTGCTCCCAAAGTTTGCGATTGCTTTCTGAACGGATAACGTCCGTATCATTGTCAAAATCAGTGCAGATGGTCTGCTGGCAAATTGTTTTCATTTACTTGGATCGAACCTGGTGTTTACAGTTTGGGATTCCTCAACTCATAAAGGGGAAGAAGTATGGACTTAAAGCCCTCTCTAACAAGCAGTGTCATAAAAGGTGTGGGGCTTTTATTTTGAAGTTGGAGTGCATCCACCTGAGAGGCAAAGAACTAACAGTATGTAAACAAGTAAGCCAATTCTGTCAAACCAGAACCTTTTATTGACATTTACAGCTGCTGAATGCTAAGAAAAAGAAGAAAAAGAAAAGATGAAATGTTAAAATTATGAAACTGTGTGCATCACTCCTTAGTCACCGATGCCGACGTCTCTCAGATAACTTGCTGTAATATCTTTTCTAAACTACAAAAGAACCTCACTAACACAGACTCACTAAAAAAATAAAATCCTAGCCTACACGGTTGGGTATGACTGCACTGCCCATGAAATCTAGAATCTTCTGATTCAAGATCCCCTATCCTGCACTGCCCATGAAATCTAGAATCTTCTGATTCAAGATCCCCTATCCTGCACTGCCCATGAAATCTAGAATCTTCTGATTCAAGATCCCCTATCCTGCACTGCCCATGAAATCTAGAATCTTCTGATTCAAGATACTCTATCCTGCACTGCCCATGCAATCTAGAATCTTCTGATTCAAGATCCCCTATCCTGCACTGCCCATGAAATCTAGAATCTTCTGATTCAAGATACTCTATCCTGCACTGCCCATGCAATCTAGAATCTTCTGATTCAAGATCCCCTATCCTGCACTGCCCATGAAATCTAGAATCTTCTGATTCAAGATACTCTATCCTGCACTGCCCATGCAATCTAGAATCTTCTGATTCATGATCCCCTATCCTGCACTGTCCATGCAGTCTAGAATCTTCTGATTCAAGATCCCCTATCCTGCACTGTTCATGCAGTCTAGAATCTTCTGATTCATGATCCCCTATCCTGCACTGTCCATGCAGTCTAGAATCTTCTGATTCAAGATCCCCTATCCTGCACTGTCCATGCAGTCTAGAATCTTCTGATTCAAGATCCCCTATCCTGCACTGCCCATGAAATCTAGAATCTTCTGATTCAAGATCCCCTATCCTGCACTGCCCATGCAATCTAGAATCTTCTGATTCAAGATCCCCTATCCTGCACTGCCCATGAAATCTAGAATCTTCTGATTCAAGATCCCCTATCCTGCACTGCCCATGAAATCTAGAATCTTCTGATTCAAGATCTCCTATCCTGCACTGCCCATGAAATCTAGAATCTTCTGATTCAAGATCCCCTATCCTGCACTGTTCATGCAGTCTAGAATCTTCTGATTCAAGATCCCCTATCCTGCACTGCCCATGAAATCTAGAATCTTCTGATTCAAGATTCCCTATCCTGCACTGCCCATGAAATCTAGAATCTTCTGATTCAAGATTCCCTATCCTGCACTGCCCATGAAATCTAGAATCTTCTGATTCAAGATCCCCTATCCTGCACTGCCCATGAAATCTAGAATCTTCTGATTCAAGATCCCCTATCCTGCACTGCCCATGTAGTCTAGAATCTTCTGATTCAAGATTCCCTATCCTGCACTGCCCTATAAATTTTTAATACAGGAAGTAATTGCAGCTGCGGTTTCTTTACCATTATCCTCATGATGTATTATCCTCAAAGACACAGTAATAAATAGAAACAGTTTTCATACTGAAAGTGCCTAAGCTTACCGTTGTGCTTATTGCAATCTTGAAAACAATAACAGAAAGTTGAACTGGTCAGCTTTACAAGATCACAGTCACACTGACAAAAGAAATTGTGGTTAGAAAACCTACCTCGGCACTCAAAAACACACACAAAACAACAAAAGTCACTAAAACAACTATTTTAAAAGACTCTAACAATGGCCTAGCTGGTTATGCACTGAGGTACATATGTTCCTTCATCGTTTGGAGGTGGCTGTATTAAATCTGGGTGAGGTCACTGTAGCTTTCAAATTGTGTGTTTAACGTAATCTTATCTCTATTTCCTTAACTTTCTATAAATGCCATTTATCGCTTGTTAATTTATTCCCGTTTTTAGATATTTTTGTTATTTATGTCTGACCATTGTTGATTTCAGCGGCGACAAAAAGTTATACATAAAGAAAATGATTTTTACCTGCAAATTTTACAACAAGCTTTACCTGTTGAAATACAATATTCTGACAGTAAGCCCAAAGGTAAACTGTGTTTGTGTTGTTCTGTTGTTGTGACCTGTACTTTTAATGTTATTAGTTACTCGTTATTTTCTCACAGGGGCTATCTCTTTTAGCGTATTGTTTTCATAAAATTTCCTGAGACTGCAGAGGTATGGTTTTACAGAAGAATTTTTAAATTCATTAGACAGCCAGAATGCGTAATTCTAGGGGGCTGCATGGTCTCATAATATGGTGTCCGCCTCGAGTGCCAGAGGTTCCGGGTTCAATCCTCGGTAAGGGCTGGGACTTTTTCACATGGACTATGACTTCTAGTAATTCCCCTTGGTAGTAAGACCGGACACCCGTGTGCATTGTTGCGCACATAAAAAAATCCCTTGGCAGTTGGAAATCAAAAAGAGTAGCCCTGGCAAAATTTTGGAGTTAAAAATCTACCCAAAAGTATTTCAGGATCCTCGCCGGTGCTACAGAGCCTGTGCACTGTGCTGACCTTCTTCGGACTCGGACTTCAGTTAAAAGAAGAACGGAGCACTCATGTGTTACTACCTGTGTGCCATGATGTTGATCCTTTGTTCAAACCTCAATGAGTAATTCTGATGTTTTAAAAGAGATAAAGGCCCAGTTTGGTCATGTTATAAGAAAAAAGAAACTGGAACATGATGCAACTGGAAAGATTTGTGGAGGAAGAGACAGAGAAAGACAATGTGAAAAGATTCTGGGCAGCCTTTTGTCATGGCCTCAAAGGGTGATGGTACACCAACTGATACATGCTGTTAGAGATCGCAAGATGTGGAAAGGCATAATCCCTCAAAGGTGGTCAGCAACGTACTTGATGAAAATGGCTGTTTCCACAAAGTTTGTTTGTTTGTTAGTTGTTACATATCTTTTATTGTTGTCCCATTTGTTTTATTATAAATTCCTGTTCTACTATTCCTAACTCTTTGAGTCCCAAGGAACGGCTCATGTGTTTATAAGTTCCTACCTAGAGGCTCAGTGAATGCAAGATGTGCTGATTTTACGTCTCTCTGACCACCCCTTGGGCCTATAATGCTAAACCCCCTGGAACTCAGAGAGTTAACAATTTTTAATCTTAAAAACTTAATTTCCAGTGCTACCAGAAGTAGTCTTATTGTATATCTGCCTTGCTTTTTCTCTTGAGCGTTGGGTGTCAGCTACATCCCCTGGTCACCCCTCTCTGCACTATTCTTTCCAAACCACGCTGATGTATTTGGGCTTCTGTAGTGTTCTGTCACTTGACCTCATCCATCTAGCTTGTCATGCATTGGTTTACCACCAAATGCTGCAGAACCACCCAGTTTGTTTGTCTGTTCATTTCCCAACACACCTGCATTACCTGGGAAAAAAAAAACATCCAGAGGACACTGACTACCCCAGACCTATGAAATGATATGTGCCACTGTGCACGGAGCTTGCCTGTCTCTGCCTTTCTTAGCATGCTTCCTGATTGGTGTGTGTATGCTACACACATGCTGATACTCACAACTTCAGAAAAGCAGATTGCCGAAATAGGGATCATGCTGCACAGGCAACACATGATCTGTACAATACTGCCCAGGGTTTGTACTGTGGAAAGGCGGGACTCCATTTCTGGCCTTAATTGGTATTACTATGAACTGTGATTCCCAGTCCTCCCTATAGCACAGTTGAATACTATCTAAAAAAACAGAAGGTGCCAACAATAACATCATGGAGCTAACATCATTTATTCAGGCATGGAACTGGGCTCGTTAAGGATGTTTGTTTTCTTTGCTTTATGTAGCGTTATTGCAAAGCACTAACCACTATCATGATAGCTCATGAGCCAATGTGAAAGTATATGGTCGCGATCCACATTGAGGCAAATTATTTTTTTAAAATTCGCCTTGGCCTCTGGTTGACCCAGCCTTAAATTAGTTTTAGATAATGTCCATGGAAGTAAAGGTGGCCAGAATGGTGTTGATTTGACCACATCGTCTATTGAGTTGGTCAATAAAAATCTAGGTTTAGAAATATTTGCTTGATTGACTTACATCAGTTGAATGGAGAGACAGCTTGAAAACAGAGTGGCAGAATATATCCCTATATTGCTACACTCAGAACTGAGTGGAGATCCTGTTTCAAGATCAACCAAGAAGAAAGAACCGTTCTTCTATAGGACATCATTTGCTTGATGCTTGCCACGTAGTTGATAAGTATTGTGTTTTCAGACGTATTTACCACATTAAGTACACATTTTTTTTTTAACTGGCCATGTCAATAAAACTGAACTCTCCTGTGTTATGTAAGCAAAAAGAGCATGTGATAAATTTGAAGTTGTCATGGTAATCACACGGCTGATCTTGAATTTCTGGTGGAGACATGTGCAGCCCAACTTGACAATGCTATTTATGAATTTCAGCAAACAAGATTCATTTTTTGCTCTTCATTTAATGTTGATGTAACTCTGACGAGATACAGCGAAATATGCCAGGCACTAATTTTCCAGTGTCCTGTTTGTGATTCAAAAGGGTTTTTTACTTCACAGATCAGTAATTTCTCTTCTATTTTCTTTGCATCTGCCAGCATTACCACTGAAGTCTGAAGAGGAAATGATCACAAATGGGGTGACAACTGCAGCAAACAAAAAAGTTTCACCTTCTTCGAAAGCAGAAGACGAAAAAGACACTCCTTTGAATTCTGGGAAAATAAAATCATCTAAAAGTGTGGACGTTAATGAGGATGATGAGATAGATTATATAGAGAAACATTTGCCACGCAAGTCCTCCAATGTGAACCAGTTTGACGAAAGTTTAGACAGTGTTGCCAATGAACAGCAAACTAGCAAAGGGTTTAAGTTGGGCAACAACGTGGTGGCTGCAATAGCTCAGGCTGCTGCATCAACTGTGAACGTCCCGCCTGTCAAGTCCAACAACAAACAGCTGAACAGCACTAAGGAGAACTACAGTTCTAACTCAGCATTAACAAATTTGTCATCATCTTCCTCGTCATTGTCGTCATCGTCATCGAAAAAAGGGAAAAATATATATAAAGAATTGCAGCCTTCACCATCACCAGTGACCTACACAAATAACAAAGATGAGGTGATACAAAGGTAAATGAAAATATAATATACTGTTTGAAAAAAAAATGCATGGTTATCCGATCAATAGTGCTTTACTTCTTCCTTCTTCTTCTCTTCCGCCATTTACCTCAGTGAGTGTGGGGGGGGGGGGGGGGGGAGATGTAAGGATCATTTGTGCACTTTTTCCAATGCATTGTACCAGTTTGATTTTAATTTCTGTTAGGTTGCTGCTGATGATGTCACTCCATCTCTTGCATGGTCTTCCCCTTGCTCTGTGTTCCATTATATTTTTTTCAGCGTGGCAGTTGGTTTCCGAGGGCATTCTCGTCATTTGTTTTCTTTAATTAATTGTATGACTGGTTTCAGTCCTAGTCTTCTTCTAATTTCTTCATTCTTGATTGTATCTCTTCTTGTCACACCGGCAGCTCTGCTAAGACACCTCATCTCTGTTGTTACGATATTCCATTCATTAGTTGTAATAAGGGTCCATGTTTGGCACTGACAGCACAGGGTTGGCCAAAAAAAATTTTTTATGAGATTTGGTTGACAGAGGTATCTTTCTATAAGTCAGAAGCGGTGTTAATTGTCCCATAACTTGATTTGCTTTCGCTTATCGTATTTTGATTTCTCCATCCATTCTTCCATCATAAGTGAAAAATGACCCTTGATATTTAAATTTGCTCGTTTGTTTTATTTCTGTGTTGTTTACTTTAATTGATATGGTTTCTTCTTGTGTGCCTGTTACCATTGCCTTTGTCTAACACTTAGTATTGGTTTAAATGGTTCTGTAAACTCTCTTCTGTTTTGGCTATTAATACTTGGTCCTGTAAATACCTCTTGCCTGGCGTAGCTGCAGTAATTTGTTCCTGAGAAGCCTGATAATGCTATTGGTTGTGTTTGCGCCTGCGCAATCAAGATATGAATATATTTACTAAAAAAAGTATTTAAGGAGGTTTTCTTGTGAACAAAAAAAAATGACTTTAAAAAATCAGTTTCAAGTCACAATTTTCTTGCAGCCATAATGTTAGAATTCCAGCCAGGTCACAGGGCCGTGGTATAAGTCACATGATACATTTTTTCCCCCGCTGAGTATGTATTCTATCTTATGCTTCACTCTGTGTTAAATAACTACTTCTTTTTCTTCCTTTATATATTTAGGGAAAACAATTTTTTTGTACATTTAAAACGTGTTTCTTAATTAGTGATCTGTGTGCAATTTATTTTTTTTAAACATATTTTTAAGGGAATGTCTGTGTTTTATGATGATTGCACTTTAATTTGGCCCAGACTCCTCAGTTGTAAGACCCCTCTGACTGCACCACCTTTTCAGTTCAAACAGTCTAATTCAGAGTCTTGGAAAGTAAAGGTCTTCAGCACAATTGGAATCATATCATCCATTGAAGGATGTTTGGTCTATACACATTTGTCTAGTATCATTTGCTCTATGCACCACTGGCCTGAAAAAGGTCCTTTACTTTTTCATAGGTCTGATTACACAAGCCAAATTTGGGACTAGCAGATGATTAGGTGCTTTATTAATATCCTACCCCAAACAGGGAAATGCACAGGTCAAGGGACAGTCTAATATTTCAGGGGGTTGTAGATAGGCTGCATGCATTCGTGGGACCCAGGCTGCACTCTCTCACGTAGGTGGGTTTGGGTTAGAGTTGTTGATGTTTTGGAGCCATTAAAATGTTGGACTGTCCTGTGATGTCATCTGGGGTAGGATATGAATAAAGAACTGATGACTAAATGATCCTTTCAGTAACAATGATTAGGCAGCAGTATGCTCATATAAAGAGCCAAAGAGGTGATCAAAAAGCAACTTATAGTTTTGTCTCTTGTCGCTTAACGTCATTCTTAGATTAAATCGGATGTCCAGAAATTAAAAGCAGACTTCCAGGCAAGTTGCAATTGTGAACATGCACCATTGGCCTGAAAAGAGACCTTTCCTTTTTTTTTTTTTTGGGGTCTAATTATGCAAGCCAGTTATGGAACTAGCAGATTAGTATATGATCCTCACAGTATCAATGTTTTGACAGCAAAATGCTCATATAAAGAGTTATAGTGATGACCAGATGGTAACTTATAGTTAGCGTGTGTGTGTGTCTAATTTTATTGTCTTTATGTCCTTCGTAGATTAGAGTCAGATGTGAAGAAATTAAAAGCAGACCTGCAGGCATGTCGTAATTGTGAACATGAACTGAGGTCTCAGATCAACAGTTCGGCTTCAGAAGAGAAGGCAATGCATTCAGAAATGTACCAGCTTCAACAGGATAATGAAAACTTACAAAACAAGTGAGCATATATCATGTTGGAATAATAATCTTCTTCCGTGATCAGCTTTTGCAATGTGCCTATTCCCTATTCATAAACAGAATGGTGAGCTTTAGATCTGCACAAATGCACCGTAGCTTGTCATGTAGTATGGCTTCTGTGAGCTAGATTTCTTCTCTCTGATGGCCAGAGTCTGGTCAGTCTTGTTTGTAAATGTGCTGTATAGTTTGGCTTGGTGCACCTCAACCTCATGCGGAAGAGTTAGCAATGCACATCTTGGAATAATCAGATAGAGTCATGTCCCTTCCACATAGTCATGCAAGCTAGAATTATCTTCCGTGCGTGCGCGCGGGTGGGTGGGTGTGGGTGTTGTATAAACTTTCATTTTCAGATGTCTTGCAGACTGGCATGGATGATCACACCTCTCCACAACTTGTGATTTTCAGCAGCAGTTTTTGTGCCTTTTGTACCTTGACAAGATTCTGTCAATAATCTTGTCATATTGTCTTTTTTTCCCCCACCCACCATAAATCTATTCAGTTGTCACAACATATTCCTGTGTCTTTCTTTTCATTAAATGGCCAATTAATAATGACAATCTTTTTCTTATGTTTATGATAAGCTGTCTTAAGGCCTTTAACTCTTTCAAAACTTCCAGATTACTCACTTTAGCTGTCCATGGAATTTTATGCCTTTTTCTGTAAAACCACATCTCTGAGACCTCAAGAAATGTGTTGGCATGTTTGCTAATTGTTCTGTAGCTTGTATTGATCAATTAAAATCCTTTGTCTTACTAGGTATTCAAGCCTGGGTGCAGCTGTGTACAAATGAAATATTTTTGCTTCTTGACAGCTGCATTTCATTATTTTATAAAGTTAATCTCAGAGTGGTTACTGTCATTTCCCTGTTTGAGTTCCGGGGCCTCCTTCAAAGTTTGAGTGCATCTGCCGGAGAGACAAGGGATCAACTGTCTAAAAAAGCCAGGTCTGTAAGTGGATTTGCATGCAAAACTCAAATTCTGGATCAAGACCAGTGCGCAGGAGTGCATGAACAACCAGAACTTTCCACCGAAGTTTACAGCTGGCGAACGCTAAGAAGTAGAAGGGGGCAATTGAACCCACACCACTGTGTTGACAGGCAAATATTTTAACTACAATGACATTGTGTCAGTTTATTATGTCATAATTATTGTTACATCTCTTACAAATTAGTCAGCTTTGTTTTAACGGGAACTGATTCTTTATACGGCAGGTTACACAACTTAGTCACGTCTCGGCAGCAGGATAAACAGACAATTGCCAGCATGGAGAAAAAACTGACAGATGAACGCAAGCTGAGGGCTGGTCTGGAAATGCAGCTTGCGAGTGAGAAAAATAAGAGCATAGAAGCAGCAGCTCGAGCAGTGGCCATGGCAACAGCTGCCAGGTAGGTGGTAATTGGCAGATAATCTAATAAAGAAATTTGAAAGATTGTCTTGCCTTCTACGTCTGCCTTTTGTCCCCCCAATGGCTCTCAACCATTGTACCAAATCATCCTATAAAGTAAAGTAAAGAATACCTTTTCACGCCTTTAGACGCATCGGGCATATGGAAAGAGCACCCATATTTTTGCAGACTAATCTTCACTAGGTGGGTAATGTGGTCAGCATTACACCGGCCGTCTTTACTTCCCCAGGACATACATCCTAGTACCCATTTTAGGCAGGGTTGACCTGCGACGCCTCATACCATGATAAAAATCCACGTGGAAGCAGTGGGTTTTGATTACAGTAAGTTGGAATTACGAGTCTGACTCACAACACCTAAGCCACGGATGCCATACAAGTCATCCTTTCCTCTGTCATAATGTGCCGCTCACCCCCTGCCATCCGCATCCTTTTCACTTCTTTCTCTAATCCTCATTTCTTTGTGTGTTTTTAACTGCCATTCTTCTTCTTCTTAGCATTCACCGACTGTAAACTTTATAGGAAATTTCTGGTTGTTCGTTCATTTCTGGACTTTGGTCTTGTTTCAGAACTTGAATTTTATATGCACATCCGTTTTACCAATCTGACTTGTGTGCAGACTGTTCATTCCATGCCTCTAAGATTGACATGCTAGCCTAAACTGGATACCAGGAAATGTCGTGGGGAGTAACGGTGGCTGATTTGAGGAGTAGTAGTGACTCTGTATTTATGTCATAAGAAGGGAACCAACAAGGCTTAATTAAAAAAAAAAGAAGAAGCCAATTACTGCCATTATTTTACCACTTTTGCGGTGTAAGGGGGGGGGGGGGGGTCTTTGTGTCTGAGGATTTACAGCCGCATGGCTAGTGCTGTTGCCATGACTGTACAGGTGAGGATTTTATTTTCCCCCTGACAGAAAAAAGATCCCCAGCCTTACCAAGGATTCGAACCTGGGTCTCCCGCTTGAGAGCTGAGCGTTCTGACCCTTCCGCCAGCCGCTCCATTAAACGAGGGTTAATGTGACTAAATATTTTATCATCATCATCCTTGTCCTGTTGTGCCATGTGTCACATAAGGCTCACAGTCTGTTTCTCCATTCTATGGTATCAGCAGTTTTAAGACAGAGAAGATGGCGCTATATTAGACACTTTTTTAGAGGAGACGAGCAGAGAATCACCAAACAGACACTGGTAGTAGAGGAAATAAGGACATCCAGGAGAAACTAAGGCAGTTAAGAGAAGCCAAAGGTGCTGGACTGAATCCAAAATATCAAAGTGATACACTGAATTACCTCATGGCATTTAAAACTAGCTTAACTCTTTGAGTCCCAAGGAATGCATCATAAGTTCATAGATTCCTACCTAGAGGCCCAATGAACACATAATGCGCCGTTTTTACGTCTCTCTTGACTACCCCTTGGGTCTGTGATACTAAACCCCCTAAGACTCAAAGAGTTAAGAATCCAGCAGTCATGAACAAGCCCATAAAGGGAATAACATGAGTTCTGTGTTCATTTGGGGGAGGAAAAAAAAGACTCTTGAAGGTTCTTTGTGCAATGAAAATGGTCCCTATCAAACAAAACCTAGCTGTCCACATTAGGTGTGTGTGCCTCTGACAGAAAAAACACAACAAAAGTTAATTAGTTGGGTTATCATCATTGCACACCGGACATTTCCATAGGTGCTCAGATCCTCCCCTCAGTATGAACCCCAACGTCCGATGGCTAATAGTACCAGTTCTATGTTGATTAACAAGTCGTCTGGTGTGCGTCTCATTTTTTGCTATGCCGATCCTAATTCCCAAGTCTGCCATTCTGGCAAGTGATGTGGATTCACTACCCTCAAAGTCCTCTATCCTTCCCATTTCTCTGAGGGCATTAATAATATCAGCATGATCCATAGGCTGACCGTCGGTAGTGATAGCGGATCCAGCCAACCTGTCAGCTCTTTCATTTCCATTGACGCCTGCGTGTCCTGGAACAAAAATAAAGGTGACTCCACGCACAGTTGACTTTTGTAAGGATTCAAGCCATTGTCTTCACACTGAACCCCCTGGATCATACTTATTGAATCACTGAGTATACATACTTGGGTCTAGTTTTGTGTTTCGAGCCAGGCGAACGCTTGCGTCATTGCCAACACCTTCATCGTCATGCTGCTGTTTGTCATGAAGAAGGCGCCGCTGGCTTCTTTGACTGTTCTGCCCGCTGAGCGAGCTGTGAATGCCCATGCGCTTCTTTTTTGGCGTATAAGGGATCCATCTGTGTAGATTAGTGCATCTGCTTCGTCTGAAATTTCACAGATGAGAGCGTTGACATCTGCATTAACTGCGACAGGATTCTCTTCTCTACATCGTCTGTTGAGTGTGACAATACAGGAAAATGTACAAACAAATGCATGAGGCACAGGTACCCACTCTGCACCAGGGGTGGTGTCAGTTAGGCTGCATATTTGCCTAATAACATCTACTGCCCGACCTAGCTATGATTTCCCCCTCTTCAGCCTGTTGCCCTTTTCACTAAAAAGCGCTTGATACAGTGGGTGTTTCTTATCAGCACATATTTCAAGGTATGCCCGAGCCCTCCAGATCCTGATCCTTTGGTTCATAGTTGGAAAGTCAAGTAGATAACCTCATTGCTACACAGGATGTGTCTCTTGTACATCCCAAAATAATGTGCATGGCTTCATTTTGCACCTTTTCAAGTTGTTCAATCTGGGTAGCACTGACAGTGAGGATGGCCAAAGGTATTCAATGGGGGAAAAGACCAGACCGTAGAATAGAAGTATTAGTAGTCTTTGCTCGATATTGGAAGCAGCCATAATCCTCATTGCAGATAGACCTTTGCGTGCTTTTGTTATCACATGATCAACATGTTCCCTGAATGACAAGCTACGATCAAACCTCACCCCAAGAAACGTCATAACGTTAGTTCTGATCAACACATTATCACGCATTTTCACTTCTGGTAAGTCCGACTTGACAATGTGATTGTTCGAAGAGAACCATGACACTGATGCCTTCGAAAGATTGACATAGGCATTGGAACCTTCACACCAGGCGGCAATTCGATCGAGTTCTTTGTGCATTGTGCTGGCGATCTCCTGTCTATCACGCCCTCAATCAAAATGTCATCAGCAAATGACAAAGTCCTTCCCTTTCCATTTACTGCTGTTGAATGGATACAACAAATGTCTATTACCTTATCAAGAATTTGAACCTGTCCCCCCCCCCCCCCCCTCCCCTCCGACGCCAGCACTGTAGCCGCTTGGCTATCTGCTTACCAAACAAAACAAAACTGCAATTTGATTTTTCAAATAATTGTTTTACTTTTTTCTTTCCATTTGTAAAAATCTATATAGAGGAGAGTGTACGGACACCTGCAAGGCCAGACGAAGGGAGTTGGACAACGAGGTGAAACAGATCCGTCATGAGAACAAAATGTGGGAGGACCAGTACAGGCAGTTAGAGCGGGAATTGCAGGTAAGTCTGAGATGTTTATGCCATTGGTGAATCATGGTAGTGGTATTCACTATTTTGCTGACTTGGCGTCTGTGGTTTAGTCATTGTCAACGCACTTCGTAATGCCAGGGTGCCAGGTTCGATCTCAGCTCCAGGCATTTTGACAGGAGTCCTCCTGGCATTGGTTTCAATAGTGGTATCAAGAGCCGACCTTAAAAAGGCGGTGGCAAACTACTGGACATAAATTTGACTAGAAAAACCACACAAAAAATGCTGGGTTTGGTTCTGCAACATCCTGTGAAGAATACACAACTTATTTTTTGTGTTTGTTTATGCTGAATTTTTTGTGTTTGTTTATGCTGAATTTTTTGTGTTTGTTTATGCTGAATTTTTTGTGTTTGTTTATGCTGACTCGTTAGTTTTTGTTCAGTCTGCGTATATCAGCAACATTCAATGCGGCTGGTCCATTGCAGAATATCGCTGTCATCATAGCAAAGGGGAAAGTCACTCAGTTCCCCAACTTTCCACCTTGTGAACTTTCATGCAGTAAAAGGAGTAGGGCACTAAAACAGAAACACTAAAACAGAAATAACTACCTGTGAAATGTGCTGTCTCCGTAAGGTCACTGACAACACAAAGAGGGACAGGGTTACAAATACCAGCAATAGAGATAAAGTTGGAATAAGACCTTATCTGGATGATGACAGACAAAGAATGGAATGGTTTGGCCATCTATTGAGAATGAAAGCAAGGGGAAGACCAAAGAAAATATGGATAATTGATGTAGCTGACACCTGCAAAAAAATTAACAAATCCAACACACATGCTACTCAAGACGTGCAAGACAAATATATAGAACCACGAGAACCGTGGTTATCTGATTAGCCTAGGTCCATCGCCGTGCTAGTTTTTCCCTACCTCTACTTCCAGGAACCATATCCTGCAGTACTTCTTCTTCTCCACCTCCTTTAGTCCTGTTCTGCCTTTCAGCATCAGGTTTTAAAGAGACATCGGGTGAGAGCCTTGGCATGTGCTCCATAGATGCTGGTATTTATGACCTTCCATATTCCATCCATCCATAATTAGGGTGGTCAACCTCTAACTCTGCTTCCAGTTGTATCTTAGTGACGGGGCTCTCTCTGGTACACTATTCAGTGGTGGTATTGATACACATCCAGACCATTTGATCTGTTGTCGCTTGATTTAGTTTAATGTTGGTTCCATCACATCTTCTTTCCTGATATCATCATTTCTGATTTTTGTCTCTTGTAGATTTATTTATGATTCATTTAATTTCAGTTGTTTTGATTTTTCTTTTTTTATGTTAATGTCCATATTCAGCAGTGGTAACATGTTGGTAAGAATACTTCACTGAAAAAGGCTCTTTTGATGACATCTGTCCAATAATTTGATTTGCTTTATTACATCTGTGATATATTACTGCTTCCATTTTTCCATGAGATGATATTGTGCTTGCTGGATACTTAAAGTCTTTTGCTTGCTTGGGTTTGCTGGTTTTCTGTGCATGTCTTGGCTGTTTTGTTCTCTCCTCCAGTACTGTTTTCTCCAGATCATGATGTCCCTAGTATACAGAGGACTGTTGCCTGACCAGTGCAGCTGTGAGATCAAACTAGTCTGGTTTATTGGGCGCTAGATGTTTATTGTGCACAGATATGGCTTTCTAAAAGGACCTTTTAAAAAAAGGAATGAAGATGTCTTGAATGAAACGAAGAAAACTGATTACTCACATCAGAAGGAGACAGTCTACAATTATTGGTCATGTCATGAGAAGGAGAAAACTGGAGTATATTGTGATAGTGGGAAAGTTCAGGTTGGGGGGGGGGGGGGGGGAGATTAAGCAGAGAGACACTGAGAGAGAATGTGTTGGTTAATTTGACATCATGACATAGAAGATCATTTGCGTTAGAAATCATCAAAAGTATACAAGACAAAAGACTGGGCAGTAATGACCAATTCCACACGGCGTGGACTACAAGACGACGACGGTGGTGTATGAGAAAAATCAGATCGATAGGTGTGCTGCTAGCCTTGTGTATATCCTGATAAATTGCATATAATGGTCATAACATATGTGTATCTTGTCACCTCCAGTCTCTGCGACAGTACAGGGATTCATATAATGGTCATAACATATGTGTATATTGTCACCTCCAGTCTCTGCGACAGTACAGGGATTCATGTAATGGTCATAACATTTGTGTATATTGTCACCTCCAGTCTCTGCGACAGTACAGGGATTCATGTAATGGTCATAACATATGTGTATATTGTCACCTCCAGTCTCTGCGACAGTACAGGGATTCATATAATGGTCATAACATATGTGTATCTTGTCACCTCCAGTCTCTGCGACAGTACAGGGATTCATATAATGGTCATAACATATGTGTATATTGTCACCTCCAGTCTCTGCGACAGTACAGGGATTCATATAATGGTCATAACATATGTGTATATTGTCACCTCCAGTCTCTGCGACAGTACAGGGATTCATGTAATGGTCATAACATATGTGTATATTGTCACCTCCAGTCTCTGCGACAGTACAGGGATTCATGTAATGGTCATAACATATGTGTATATTGTCACCTCCAGTCTCTGCGACAGTACAGGGATTCCCAGAAAGAAACTGAAGTGTTGATGAAAGCCCTGTCCACCATGCAAGACAAGAATTTGGAGCTAGAAAACAACTTGTGCGCAGAGACTCGTTTTAAACAAGACCTTTTTTCAGCTCTTGGCAAGGAAAGAAATGAGATTAAGATTTTACAGAGTATGTATATTACTCTTAATCATTTTAATAATTGTTGGGGGGGGGGGGGTATGATAGGGAGTGTTTTTAAACCGCTATCTTCTGATCATCGGTGATGTATGATAGGGAGTGTTTTTTAAACCGCTATCTTCTGATCATCGGTGATGTATGATAGGGAGTGTTTTTTAAACCGCTATCTTCTGATCATCGGTGATGTATGATAGGGAGTGTTTTTAAACCGCTATCTTCTGATCATCGGTGATGTATGATAGGGAGTGTTTTTAAACCGCTATCTTCTGATCATCGGTGATGTATGATAGGGAGTGTTTTTAAACCGCTATCTTCTGATCATCGGTGATGTACGATAGGGAGTGTTTTTAAACCGCTATTTTCTGATCATCTGTGAGGTATGATAGTGCAACCCGTCCCTGTAAGTGTAATCATCCTTATTCATAGCTCAAAGTGTTAAAAATCCCTGTTCGGGGATTAACTTTCTCTGTTCGGAACTTTACAAAGGTTAAACTTCTTTATTCGTAATTCAACAAGGGTTAAATTTCCATATTTATAATTCAGTACAGGTTTATTTTCTTATTCATAGCACAACAAAACCTAAATTTGTCTGTTCATAACTCCACAAATTTTTTAATTACTTTGTTTATACCTCATCTATAAATATCAGCGAAGCCCCTGGCCAAGTAGTTAGAGCAGTCATTTGAGAAACACAGATTTAATGTTTGCTAACAGATTGGGATTTTTTTTCTGTCCGCAAAAAATAAAAATCCTAACCAACACACTCAGTAGCAACTGCATTAGCCATATGGCTCTACACCACCCTAAAAAGTGGTTAATGCAGGAAGTAAAGACTGTTCACTATAAACATCATTTTATAGCCTAACCTCACTTCCGTCTTTACCTGCATAGGACTGCAGATAACACACCTGGCTAATATAGCCGTTCCGGGTGCTCTAATTATAATTTCTTTGGAGGTTAAGAGAGGTATCTGGGATCTGCCTGGTTGGTCTGCTGTCCAAATAAAGATTTTTTTCAAAGTCCTCGGATGGTATAATAAACCTGAAGTGCCAGCCTGGAGGGAACAAATTGATCAATCAATAAGTAAGTCATGGAGACGTAAATTTTGATGTTGCTGTCCCCTAATGACACCTTTAGAAACCACCAGCTACATTTTCCTGCCATCCCATAACCATTTGTGACTTACTTATTGACTTTAGGTTACTTGGTGAAAAAGTTTTCTGCTTTTGGCCATGATTTGCTGATGCAGTTTTCCCATTTCTGGACTAGCAGTCCAAAGGTTTGAGGCCCAGATGCTGAGCTGAGTGCCTAGTGGACTGTTTTTTGTTTCTTCTTTGCCCGCTGCTGTTTTTTTTTGCACTACAAATGGCAGGTTATCAGTTACCTTCGGACATCCTTGTACAGTACTGAGTCTGCAGATTCTGGCTTGTCTTGATTGACTGCTTCCATCAACAGTGAGCTGCAATTCTGGTGGGGGACTGTTAATAGTGGCACATCTGGTGGCTGCCTTATGCATTTACTTTGCATGTGCGAGCTTCTAAAGTCTGCTTGGACTGAACTGTTTTTTTTAACTAGTTTTCATATGAAACAGTGAAGAAGATTTTGTGTGAACTCCACTAGCACAGGAACAGAGCAATTATAGGGGGACCTGTTCAACGCAAAGTTGAAGCTTTGACTACTGGTACTACTACTACTCATAAGACAACAGCACTTAAATATAACTCATAAGAGATTAAACTTGCATTTACAACTCAACAGTAAGAACAAGTATTCATAACATTTGATATTTCTCATTTTAATGTGTTGTTCATCTCTCGCTGTTAATATTTTTCTCTCCAGATATCGTTGCTGAAAAAGACAACGCGATCCTGGAGTTGAAGTCCAAAATAGCCGAAGTCATGGCACTGATCCCTAGTCCCGCGGTGACCACTTATTCTCATCATTCACATGAGCGCAACTCGTCACCACTCTTCTCCTCCTCCAACTTCAGCCCGTCTCAGGACAGAACCACCAGCCTGTTTAATGGCTGTGACCTAGCTTCATCGTCAGAGTTGAACCCAAATGCATCAGACTACACGCCAAAGTCTGCAATGTAAGGCAGAATCCAGCGTTATCCTATGGGCATCAACAAAACCACACAATATATTCTTGTGTTAGCGTATATCGAAATGAGATGACTGCAGTAGAGCTATGAAAGTCTAAAAATAGTATAGGGAAAACATAAAGCAAATGTCTACTTTACAGAACCAATTACAGTAAACAAACAAAGGGCGTTGCAGTGATTAGAGACTTCATTAGACAATGATAGCGCGAAACGAAACACAGCACAAAACTGAACTCACTTAGAATGTCATTTTAGAGTCAGTTCTTTTTTTTTTTTTTTTCCTTGTTTTTCTGCTGAAGAAGGCTGATCACTGCAACATCCTTTATTATTATTGTTTTTGGGGTTGCAATTGTATGTTGAAAAGATATTGAACCAATTGGGACATTTGAACTAGTCACTTTCACATTATCACAATCACGAATGATTTGGCCTTCATCAGTATGTAAACAAACGAACAAGGACACAGTTAAGAGACAAGAATACACAAAATCACTTATCTCTGTGTTGAGGTATTCCCTAGAGACAGTCACATACGTTGTGACAGTAGAAGCTACATGTCATATGTGGTACCAGGTGTAGTTGGTTAAGTAAAGCTGACATTACGTTATATTTTCCCTAACATTTTTTAGATATTTGTTGTTGCATGTCTTCAGCTTTGTTGTGCTTTATTTGTTATTGTTATTAACAAAGTACACATAATTTTGTACATTGCTGCTGCCAGAAAGGGTAGAGGGGTAGACATACATTGCTGCTGCCAGAAAGGATAGAGGGGTAGACATACATTGCTGCTGCCAGAAAGGATAGAGGGGTAGACATACATTGCTGCTGTCAGAAAGGTAGAGGGGTAGACATACATTGCTCCCATGAAGGATAGTGCCACTAGTAACTATTGCTCTCTTCCTGTTATCATCATGTTGTGCCGTCTCCACAGTAAAGGCTGACTTCAGTGTGTAACGGCTGCTGTCTTTAGGAATTTTACTTGATAAGGTCCTAGTCTCTTCCATGGTTTGACTCTTATGTCACTATGAGAACCACAAAAGTGTTATTTTTTTTTTTTTCTCAATAAACCGTCTGCCCTAAAACTTAAATCCTAGTACTTGAGGATCTCAAAACACATTCTCTAACTTCTAAGCTACAGAGCCTCACCAATTGCTCCATTACTCTTCTGTTATATCAAGTTAGTTGCATATTCTTTACAGCAGGGCTGTTCAGCTGCTGGGCCGTGGAGGCCTTGCTGGTGGCCCATGGACCTTTGCCAGTTGTTCTGTATTTAATGATATTTCTATGCTGGTACACAAGCCCCTGGCCCATGCTGATTCTTATTTTGAAAATTGTGACCCCTGAATAAATCTAGTTGAATAGCTTTATAGAGTATGTCGTAGACCAACTGTGTCATTTGTTGCTTGGTTTTACTGGGCAATTTTATGTTAACTAAATTGTCGCTGCCTCTCCTTCCATTACAGGATGTTACAGACCAGTCCCAACATTTGTTGGCCATTTATAGTTTTACTAGGCAATTTTATGTTAACTTGATTGTTGTTACTTTCGGCACGGTCAAAGCTGATAAAATTATCAAAATCAACAAATCATCTTCAGTGAATTGGACAGGAGTTTTTTTTTTTTCTTTTTCTGCATCATAAGAGTTACACTTGGTTGAAATAATGCACACATATTGAACACATAGTTATGTGTTTTGTTGAGGGATACCCACAAAGACACTTTACTTCAGGAAATGTATTTCAGTATTCTGTGTCCTGTTCGTTCCCTTTTAAAAGAAGTGTGTCACACCAGTTTGTCTACCCTAAGGGTCAGAAGCAGAGCTTAAATTAGTCTTTTGATCCCAGTTTTATACAGTAAATAAATATTTTGAAATTTTAAAATCATCTTCTTCTTCGCGTTCACCAGCTGTAAACTTTGGCAGAAAGTTCTGGTTGTTCATCCACTTTTGGACTGCAGTCCTGTTTCGGAGCCTGTGTTGCATGTGCATCCGTTTTACAGATCTGATTCATTTGTTTGCTGGTTCCTTGCATCTCAGGCAGATGCACTCCAACTTCAAAGGAAGTTCCCGATTAGTCGACTCTTACGATATGATTTTTGGTAGGCAGTGGGTCTATTTCCCCCCCCCCCCCTCCCCTTTTAAATCTAACTTTTCTTATTGCAGGCTGGGCTGAGATGTACCAAACTGCTTCCTTTTGTTGCTGGTTTAATGAAGTTATGTTGTTATTTTTTGGGGTTTATATTGGATCCTGAGATCAGAAAAAAACTTATTCATGTTTTGTGATCAAGGCAGAGATCATATATGAAAGCATTATGTTTGGTTAAACTAATTACAGCACTGAGTTTCTCTTTAACAAAAGACAGTATTTTACTTTGCAGCATTATGTTTGTGTTTTGTTTTGAATGGAGAATTGATTATTATTTTTATTTTTGAAATTCTTCAGATCTGTGTTCTTCAACATTTGTACACCTGGGGACTGACAAACAGGTAACATTTTCGTGGACCGCCTGACAGCTAATGTTAAAAGGTTGTAGATAGCAGTTGATTTATTAAATCCGATTTATTCAATCTTCAAAAATGTGTGCTGTAGTGTATTGCCGGATTCAGGAAGCCGCTTCATGATAGGACAGAACCTTTTTGATGAACCACCAGGAACCAACCACCCCTTGAAGACCACTGCTATAGATAACCCATAGGTTCTCCGTCATCATTAGCAGTTAACAGATGCAGTTTAGGAAACATATTAGTAAATAACAGTGCTTATATACTTTTCATTTGAAATGTGCCATAAATATGGCATTAGAATAGTACCTGTATGCTTTGTTTACTTACTTTAAAAAAAAACAGAAACTTAAATGAACATAATTTTCTCATAATTTTGACATTCAGAATCTTTGTAATTTAATGAGTGAAATTGTTCCAATTGCACACAAGAATACTTTAGGATTCAACAATTAGTTGGTAGGTTGTTTTTTTTTTTTTTTTCATCTGGGTCATTGATAGTTTTTAGATGTGGAGGCTTTCACGTGCCATTGGATAACTATAGGTTTTTTTTTTTTTTAGCTTTATAGTTTCAGAATCATTGCCCAGGTCCTGCATGTTATTGTTTTAGCGAACACCATTTTTATTGAATTGTTAACTCTTCATGAAGCCCGGCTCTCTAGCGTAGTTGGCTAAACCGGATTGCGCGGTGACCGGGTGACGAACTCCTTGTGGTCCGGGTTCACTCCCGGGGGTAGGCAGAAAAGCCACATTTCTCCCAGATTTACGGTATTTACAATGGAATCAAGGCCGAAAGGTTGCGATATCCATAATACCGAGCCTAAGGGTTAACTACTCACGGCTTCTGGATACTAAAACAAACAAACAAACAACTCTTCATGAAATGAAGTTTGAGAAACTAGTGGCTTTAATTCTGGTAGACTACAGTGTCACCAGTGCCTGTGGCTTAAGTGTTATGAACATGCTTCATAATTCCAGAATAAGTGGTTCTATTAGGCTGCCAGCAGTTTGACATCCGACCTGTTTATCTTGATTTTGACAATGGTATGGAGCACTGACCATTCAGAAGCAATGGCAAACTATTAAATGTAAAACTGTATAGTAAAAAAACAACTACACAACAGTCAGAATAGGCTTCTTAACGTTCACTGGCTGTAAACTGGCAGAAAATTCTAGTTTTTCGTCCAAAGACTTTAGTCTTTATTCCAGAAATTTAGTTTTGCACGCACATCCAGTTTACAGACCTGGCTTATTTGTATGCATAGTTTCTCACCTCTCAGGTAGATGCACTGCAACTTCAAAGGAAACATCCTTTAGTAGTCTCCTTTTAGGACATGCTTGTTAGGGAGGCAGTCAGTCACTTTGAGTGTGGTCATCATCTCGGCAAACGGTGCAAAACGTGCGTTTTTATCAGCTGTTACGCATGTCTTCGGCAGCTTCATCACAGCAAAAACCATTAGACCCAACAGTCCCTCCATTGACCAGAAAAGATCACCAGACTAGGAAGTAAAAGCTATTGATCAACTCATTTATTCGCCACTGACGTTTGAGAGGAGACGGTATGAGACTGCTACTGACACCATTAATATTGCTAAAGATGGGGACTGAGCTATTTTTGGAATGTCCTGAGGACTATAATATCACTTCTGAACCTGACCCTGGCATACCATGGTTTGCATCCCTAGTCAGATTCCAGTTTACCAAAAACAAAACGGCTTTACCACGTTTAACCTGTTTTAGCTAGCCGAATCTACCAACAGTTATATTTGTGGTCTGGTTTATTTGCGCCACTTTTGTGGCTAAATTTATGGTATGTACGAAGATTTAGGGCCGCAGGGCTAGTGCAGTCATCACGGGCTCTTCTGGTTAGAAGATTAGTTGCTGCAGCAGAAAAACCCATGATGTTTCCAAGGATTAGAACCTGGGTCCCACAATTGTTAATCCTCTGGCGAGCTGCTGCTCCTCCTTATATGCGTAAAATAACCATAATTTACCTACTCTTTGCTTTATTATTAAAGATGTGATATCCCTTGTTGTATAATGCTGTTTATTGTTACAGTGCGCATCATTACATATCTTCTGCCTGGCTGTTTTATATGTTTGCCATTTTTGCTTGCTAACATTGTAAAAGGAGAAGAAATTCCGGTTATATTGTATTTAATCCCCTATGTACAACTTGGCATAAATAATACTCACTGTCACGATATTTATTTGTTTCTTCTGTGGCAAGACTCAGTAGTAATGAGTTGCTCCTGATTAAATATTATTATGTGAGTTGCTCCTGATTAAATATTATTATATTTACCCTGTTTATTATTTGGTAATGTTATTTTTAGCTAGCTTATTTATTAATCAGTATACTTTTTTCTAGATTTCATATTTCTGCTTCTTTCCTCTTCTTGCAACTTTCATTCTTCCTTCTTTTCTGTTTTTCTTTCTTTGAATTCTGTCTTACCGGCTGGGATTGGCAATTATTCTTCCGCACACTAATATGTCTAGCATCTTATTCCCCATGCACCACTGGGGTCTTTTGCTTAACTACTAGATGACAACTCGCAAGCTTGATAGAGAAAGAGCAGGGGAAGACAGTGAGAACTTGGCTAGGACAAGAATACAGATCTGGTGTGTGATCCTCTTAGAAGCAGCAGATGAATGTGCTGTTTGTACCAACTTTGTGCTAGACTTTGACAGTCCTAGAAAAACAACTCATAGTTAACAACATGTGAGATGAGATGTGTAAGAAATGTGGTGGGGGAAAACAAGAAGAGATAGTCATCATGAAGGACTAAGGACTATAGTAGGCACGGTACCAGTAAATGGTTCGGTCATTTGGTCAGAATGGAACAAAATCAGCCAGGAGCTAGCTAAAGCGTACTACATGAAAACAGCAGGTGACTTGGCAAGAGGCTGACAAAGAAAGAAATGGGTGGAAGGAGTAAAAAAGGCACTACAGAAACATATTAACACAAGCTACACAACTAGCAAAAGACGTGAAACTACATCTAATTCCTCATCTATGCTTCAGGGCATAAGCTTATGACAGCAGAAGAAGACATGATGCTATTTTTTCAGGCCAGAATGTTTTGTTACTATTTTTCTCTGCTGTCGGTCTTACCTATTTTTCAACTGAACTTGAAGTTCTCACAAAACACTATAGCTGTATACTTTCCCAGAGTGCTGACAGAAAATTTCTTGCTGAATCCTGGGTTGCATATAATCATTAAAATGGCGCAGCAGTTGTTGTTCTTCTTCAACATCAGTCACGCTAAACATTGAGTCCTGTCTGGGTCACAAATAGGATTGTGCATTTAAGGCCACCACCGGTCCCCCACATCTTCTCTTGTAATGTACCTCCCTTGGGCCAGATCCACAGTCTTTGTTGGGAAAAGTTGGGGCAGTCCTGCAGTATGTGCTCAGGGGTCTGTCTTTCTGCTTCACAATCACAGGCAGCAGATTCTTTTATGCCTATCCTGTGCAGGTGTGCTAGGAGGCCACAGTGTCCTGTCCGAAGCCTAAAAATTGATGTTTCTTCTTTCCTGTTGAGTTTGTTTATGCTGTCACTCTCTGGTCTGTAATCTCCATTCTGCCTTCTCCACTCCCACTAGAAAGACTGCTTTAGCGCTGTTTTGGTTAGCAGTTGTTATATTATGTAGAAATGAACCTGGTTATTTTGTCAAATGGATGCTCTATAAATAAGGAATTTGAACTGCAACAGCCGTCTTCAAGGAAGAAAATTAGTAAAAATATCCTTAGATCTGAGGGTTGATTTTTGAGATCAAGATGAGCCATCATGGCTAGACTATTGCCTGCATCTCTGAAGGTCGTGGGTTCAAATCTAAAAGGAGCCTTGACTTTTTTCTTCAAAAATAACCTTCATCGACCCAGCCTGCATACCAAATAAAGTCATGGGATGTAAAGGCGGCTGGCATGATGCTGACATTACCCAGAGAGTGCTGACTGGTCCACTAAATATAGATCTAGCATTTTGTGCCCAATACACCTGAAGGTGTAAAGAAGGGCCCTTTAAAGATAAAGATGTGTAAAATGGGGGAGTGCTCAGAGGATCCACTTCCTTGCACCTGGCTCTATCCCACTTGGCTCAGTCTCTTATCTTCCCAGAGCCGCTGAAAGACCTGCCCAAAGCTGAAACTCTTTAGTGGTACTCCCCAGGCATCTCCACGAGACCCACAAATTGATGATGCAATCTTAAATAAACCTACAATCTTTAGGGCAGGGCCATTCAGCTAACTTTACTCGGGGGGCCAAAATGTGGGTCGTCACGGTTCAGAGGCCTGATGCCAGTGTAGAAAGATCATTAATATATTAAGATTAGACCCACTGCCTGTCCAAAAGTATGTTGTAAGAGTCGACTGATTGGGAGCTTCCTTTGAAGTTGGAGAACATCTGCCTGAGAGGCAAGGAACCAACAGTCTGCATGCAAATGACTCAGACCTATGAAATGAATCTTCACGCAGCACGCAAGTTTCTGGAACAGGACTAGAATTCAGAAGTGGAGAAACAACCAGAACTTTTCCATCGGAGTTTACATCTGGCGAATGTGAAAAAAAAGAAGATTAATATATTATAATTGGCAGGTGATTCATGGGCCACTCTGTCTGAAAAGAAAGAACCAACAGTCTGCATAGAAATAAGCAAAATCTATTAAACAGGTCTGCATGCAAAACTCAAATTCTGGAACAAGACAAAAATCATAAGAACAACCAGAACTTTCCACCAGGGTTAACAACCAGTGAATGCTAAGAAGAAGATAGATATTTTTAAAAAAGTAGCCTAAAAGCTAAGAAGTAGAGACAAATGACCACAAAGTACAACTGTCCACACTTGCAAAACAAGATGCATTTAAATCAAAACTTAACAGCAGAAAAAAATCATTCTAGTTTAAACAAAGGATTTATTTCACTTCCTTACAAACTTTACAAAACAAACAAACACCCCATGCCAAACTAACAAAACATTTGATGATGATGAAGATGTGGCCACTAAGAACAGTCTGCCTCAAAGTTTATGAATTTTTATAATAAACATATTCACACACAGTTTTCACAAAGAGCTCAGGCTCAATTAGGATGGATTAATGATCAAACAAAAAAATTAGTTCTGGCCAAAGCTACTAAAGCAACATTTAAAAACACAAACAAATTACCATATGCATTGGCAATACAATATCAGCTTTTAAAAGCCACCACGATTAAAAATGGAATTCTAAATTCCACAAACTTAAAACCAAGTTACGTATTTTCACTTCTAATATTATTTCATTTCTAACAGGCAACAATGAAAGTTGGAGAGCCATCGAAGACACAGAAGAAATGTTAAATGCAATAAATGTTTGAGAAAACCGATGAACATTAACTCGGATGAACTCTAAGAAAAGTGAAAAAATTGAGAAATATCTGGATAAAGCAGGCATCAATAGCTACAAGAAAAACAAGATGTTGACATATTAGGCACATCGTAGGATGAAGAGGACAAGAATCGCAAAACGGGCATTGAAATGAGAAACAAATTGATCTGAGAAGCATGAAGTCCAAGAAAATCCCTTTAGCAAACTTTAATGTTAGAGGCCAGCGGTGCCAAATAGAATTCATAAACAATATCATCCTGACTGGAGGGATAGACTGACAGCTCAAATCAGAGCCGGATTTGGATAGAAGCTAAATAAGCTATGGCATGGGACCTCATAATCTGCATGGGCCTCAGCAAATTAATCTTTCTTCCCACAAATGCAGTTTTTGTTTAATATATTTTAAATTTAAAATATTGTTTAAACTGTCAACTTAAGGCCTTTCAGAGGATTATATAATTTATGTAATTTTAGAGACCCACTCTTTATTATTTCTTTTCATAAATATTGAAGGACAATACATGTCCGTCATCCATAGCTGGTGTAGTTTAAAGTAGTAGGGGCCTCAATGTTTTTTATACAGCATAGGGCCTCATCAAATCCTAATCTGGCCCTGGTTGTAATGAGGTACAAATGGCACAACATGGCGATGAAGATAAACATTTACAATCACACCATTCGGTGTTTGAAACAGTCCTGGCCATTAGAAAACATCAAAAAACGGAAATGCAGCTTTCTCTGGCTGCAGAAGATCCATCAAAAAGCAGACTGTCCCCGCCAAACCCTCGTACAAACTGTACGGATTATCTGGAGTCCGGGCTCCTGTCTGAAACTCCTGGGTCAGGATGAAGTTGGCAAACTGATTTGCTCGGTGCAAGTACTTCTTGTTGCCAGTCAGCCTATACAACAGCAGGAACACATATCTGCAACAGTTAGAAGGAAACAGTATATTAATTACCGCCTAAATATTAGTCTACCCCTCCCCCCCCCCTTTTTTTTCCTTCTCCCTAATGTTTTCTTTGTGTCATAGCCCTTACTGTGCATGTCATGTCCAGGACTTTAATTTTCAAGAAAAAAGTACTGGTACTCTAACAAAACTTTAATAAAGGTGCCAGTATTCACCACAGTCTAAAAAGGTACCTGTACTCACCATAAAGTGTCATTAAAAAATTGTGCACAAAGTGCTGGTACACATCACAAAATGTCTATTTCTGTAGCACTGAATAAAATTATGTCTAAAAAGGTGCAGGTACTGCAGACTACTGCGTACTCCCCCCCCCCCCCTCCCCTTCCTTTCCCCCTTTTTCAAAAAACAAATTAATTAACCTGGTCTTATCAAATAAGTAAATCTTCATGTCCCTGATTTCTTTCTGTTCCGAGAAACCTATCATTTTTTCTCCTTCAGAGTTTAAACATGTTTATAGGCTTGATTACTGACTTTACTGCACTAGGTTTATCCTGTATGCCTCGGCCTCTTCTCAAGGAACAGCTGACTGCCCATGAGAGCATTGCACAAGGCACAAATGCTCCATAAAGACTGGCACGAATTAGTTTTAACATACTCAACCACAAAGGCTGGCAAGCTAGTCTGGTGGTCGTGTGCAAATCCCTATCAAACTTGGGAGCTAAGAACTCTTCTTCTTCTTCTTCTGCCTTGTATCTCCCAATGGAGCATAGGCCATCAACCACCTCACACACCAAGTCCTTCTATCCTTTGCTATTGCACGCAGCTCATCCTAAGTCCTCTATAATTTTCTCTAGCTCCCTTCTCCGTGTGTTTTGGGTCTGCCTTTATTTCTATGCCCCTGTAGAGCCCAGTGTGAAGACATTTTAATTATTCAGGTTTTCTCAATCTCTCTCCTATCCAACACCAGCATCCTCACCTCTTGGTCCCCTGGAATTTGTTTAGTTCTCTCCCAAAACTCGGCATTAAACATTCTATCACACCATTTAATGCCCTCTATTCTGTGCAGCAATCCGTTAATAAATGTTTTAGTTTATTAATAACTGTTTTAGTTGTTCTCCATGTTTCCACTAAATACAGAAGTAGTGGTTTGACATTAGAATTAAAAATGTTACGTTTAGTATCAGTTTTAATTTCTTTTTTCATCTCTAAATCTCCTAGTGCTATGAAAGTGCCTCCTGCCAAGCTTAGAATTAAAGACTAGTTATGCTTCAGGTCACAGCTCACTATGTAGATCATAAATATTTTTTTTTTTCACTTTTTTTTTTTTTCAATCTCTAATAAATGAAACACCTGTGACTTAGCCTGGTATTCCCCTGGTCGTTTGGGGGGAGGGCTGTTTGGAGGAGGCAGGGAAGAGAACACATCGACTAACCCCTAATAAGCATGTCACAAAAGCTGACTAATTGTAAGCTTTCTGAAATCAGATATGTTGGGCACGGCAGAAAGGTACAGATATTGCAGCCTAGCTGCAACTACAACATAACTTGCCAACCACTCTTTTAAGAGCGAATGCAGAAGAAGAAACTGGAGTGAGAACATATCTTCTGACTTTGAGAGCCACTAAATTTACAGCCTCAGGTTAACAAAAAAGTCTTTAAAAAATATCTTTTACAGCTGGATGTAAATAAATAAAGGACATTTTTCCCATACCTTCGGGTGTATTGGGTATATAGGGCTAGACCGAGCTATATTTTATAGACCAACCGGCACATGGCAGATGATGTCGTCAACATCATTCCGGGTCCCATTTTGGGGGGTGGCGGCGGGGAGAGAATAAACCCACTGCCCCTTATCAAGCATGTCATAAGAGTAAACTAATCAAGGGTCTTTTCTTCAAAGTCGAAGTGCAACTACCAGAGAGGCAAGGAACCAACAGTCTGCTAAAAAAAAAGCCAGATCTGCAAAACAGATATGCACACAAAACTCAAGTTCTGGAACAAGACCAAAGTCCAGAAGTGGACGAACAACCAGTACTTTCAGCCATAGATTACAACCTGTGAACGTGAAGAAGAAAATGGACGTACCCATTACCAGCAACACCGTGGCAAATGCCAGGACCCTTGGTAAGCAAGCCACGTTTCCAGGTCAGCTCCGAAAACTGGATGCAGGCTTGCAGGTAGCGCTCATCACCCCACACTCTATAGGCTTTGGCAAAGAGGTACACAACACCTGTCAGAAGATGTTAACAGGTAGACAAAAGGTGTTTCAAACTCAACTCTTTCAGTCCCACGCAGTTGTTTTATAAACTCCTTCTATCTCAAACAGTTCAGCTCAAAGGCAATAAATATTGTGGTCAGATGGGGCTGAACAGAGACACGGTGGGGCAGTAATAGTTAATCTGATACAAATAAAAAGGGGTTGAAGTAATGTCTGTCTATAATAAGTAAGAATATCACATCATCTCTGGAGTGACTAAGAAAACTACTGGGAGTGGTACTGTTAATGCAATGCTGCTGGTTTCTGGTCCAATAAACAATGAAGTGTAGGAGAAAAGAGATGAAATGTCATCTACAGAACTACAGGGAAGGATTAAAATGAAGAACAAAAGTTAGCTTATGAGATTCTTAAGATGGAATAATGGTATCCGAAACCATTTCAAATATCTGCCAAGGTAGACTCACAATATAATTACTATAACTGTTTGAAAGCACACTTAGTATATAACCAACTAGGCAATCAATGCAATTACAATCTTATATAATTAATACATAAGCTATGCGACATTGTATACCAAAACAAAACTGGTAGACATAAATATCCTATATTGAAATAGAGAAAAACTCTATAGATCCTAATTATAAACAGGATGGGTTGAACAGGATACTATTCTATAAACGACTACTTCTAGGTGATATGTCTGGTTAAACCAGTTGCCACCTTAAAAATGAAGGGCATGGCAAAAGGTTTTCAGCATCCCCAGTCTCTTCTTAAGACTACATTCTATCTCATTTCTGTCTCGTCCCCAGTCTCTTCTTAAGACTACATTCTATCTCATTTCTGTCTCGTCCCCAGTCTCTTCTTAAGACTACATTCTATCTCATTTCTGTCTCGTCCCCAGTCTCTTCTTAAGACTACATTCTATCTCATTTCTGTCTCGTCCCCAGTCTCTTCTTAAGACTACATTCTATCTCATTTCTGTCTCGTCCCCAGTCTCTTCTTAAGACTACATTCTATCTCATTTCTGTCTCGTCCCCAGTCTCTTCTTAAGACTACATTCTATCTCATTTCTGTCTCGTCCCCAGTCTCTTCTAAAGACAACATTCTAACTATCTCATTTCTGTCTCGTCCCCAGTATCTTCTAAAGACAACATTCTATCTCATTTCTGTCTCATCCCCAGTCTCTTCTAAAGACAACATTCTAACTATCTCATTTCTGTCCATCATTTTCATATTATTTTCCTCGTGTATGCTTGCTTCTACATTTGTCAACAGTCTATTGTTTCTTTTCATCTTTTTCTTAAAGTACATGCCGCGTGGCGTGGGTAGTCATGTCTATCCACAGCCTTCTGTCTCGTGAACTTTCAATAAAACTCTGACACAGACCATCCTCCATGCTATGTTAACCTGTCCTGCATCTTTTCTCTCGGTCTCCCTCTGCCTCTACTCCCCTCCAGCTTTCCTACTGTCAGAATATACTCCAGCTTTCTCCTTCTCATCACATAACCAAAGAATACTGTTTCCTCAAATGCCCAAAATAAGTTGCGCCTGAAAATTAACATTAAATATCATTTTCTAAAAACTACCTGGAGCCCCATGACACCAATGTACCAGTTCATCGCTGTCACTCCGAGGTGAGTTAACTTCATCCATAGCTGGAGGAAAGTTACCATTGGCCTGCTGGATGGTAAGAAGCCAATCAACCGCAGCTTTAACCTCCCTGGCTGCAGAAGGGTTAGACTCCAAGAAAGATGGGCAACTGATGATCATTTGGAGAATAGATGAGATTCCATGGGCTGCACCTTTTAATCACACAAAAACATACAGTAAAATATACAGGATTCATTTAAAATGTTTATGTTCAGTCATTTTAATCATTCTGTACCAACAACTCGGTACGCACTGATCCAAAACTACTTATATAACCAAACTATTTTAAACTGTCTTTAGGTTGACTACACAGATATATGACCAACACACATTTAATTTCACAAAATTATGTTTTCAGTCATTTCAATCATTCTGTACCAACAACTCAGCATTACAAATAGAAAAAATAACGCCCACACAGCTTTGCTTGTCTCTGAACTGATCAGTAACTTTATCAATTCTATCTGCGATAAGACTGTGTCACCCACAAACCCTTCGGAAGAAGAATCCAGTTCACAGGAATTAATTCAACCCCCCCCCCCCCCCCCCCCCCCCCCCCCAATCCTTAAACAAACAGCCATTTTACACACAGAACACTAAAAAGGTCAAAATTTAAACTTACAGTTTTTAAAAAGTTTATGAAATATGAAGGACAGTAATCAATAAACATGAATGAATGAACTGGATTTAACTCTCTGTGCCTAAAACACTTACTATGTGACTAGTGTAATGACTCTGCCTTCGACACTCTTCTAACACCAAGGCTACAGACAAATTATGATGTCAAATGGCTTTGAAACAGCCACTTTGTTCACATTTTTAAAAAAAACCTGTTATTTTTAGTAAATATATTCATTTCCTGACCTCCTAACTGCTGCACAGGCAAACACAACCAATGGTGTTAACTATAGGTCAGGCTACTGTACAAATGCCGGGTAAGCGGCATTTGCGGGATTGAGCCACTGCTGCCACATGTGCTGGATTCACTGGCACAGGTGCCAGAACCTAGGAACTCAGACTGGTTATCACCCTCCTCCCTCCCCATGCCAAATAAACTTTAGGAGACGGGACTATGCCCCCATCCATAGAAATGTGAGCTCAGTGGTTCACCCCAACCATCAACAGATGTAAATTTTTTTTTTCAAGTAAGTGTTGATACTTTTCACATTATTTTAAATATTTTATTATATTTATCTGCCACTGAGCATATAATAATAATTACTAGTACTGCTTACTTAAAAAAGGCTAATGCCTCGAGAGAACCACCTCCCAAGATTTCTCGGTGGTGGTATGTCTAAATCCTGTCTTCTTCAGGGTGAAAAGGTTAACTAGATGTGTGTGTCCAGTGACAAGGACATTACCAAAGCCTTGTTTCCCAACAAGGATGGATGGATGTTCTGACCACCAGTGGACTTCAGCTTTTAACGTTAAACAACTCCCGAGTTTGTTGGTTTCTAGCGATAGGACATTCTATTCCAAACTCTTAATTCACCAATCATGATGTCAGATTCTTTCTTTGCATTCACCAGCTGTAAACTCTGGTGGAAAGTTCAGGTTGTTTGTCCACTTCTAGGCTGCAGTCCTGTTCCAGAATCTGAGTGTTGCGTGTGCATCCGTTTCACAGATCTGGCATATGTGTGTACAGACTGTTGGTTCTTTGCCTCTCAGGCAGATGCACTCCGACTTCAAAGAAAGCTCCAAATTAGTCGACTCTTACGACATGCTTTTAGGTAGGCAGTAGGTCTATTCTTGTTTTCCCTATAATAGGGCCCCGGAACCCACACTTGGGTGATGTCAGATTAATCCACTTTCTCTTCAGTGTCCCTTTTGTTCCTTTTGACTTATGATGATATTACTTTACCTAGGTCAGATCCAAGATTTAATCTCTTTGCCAAAACCATCTCATATGATCATCATCGTCAAGTGTCTTGCCAACTGACATGAGTGTTTATGCCTCTCCACAACCTGTAATCTGCAGCAGCATGTATCAGTTCCTGTGCTTACACCTCCATACCACAATAAAAGAATACGAAGAATTTTCCTGTGTTGTCTTCCTCTATCACTTTTGTCATAACTCTTTCCAGGAGTCACAACTTGTTTCAGTTTTTTTTTTTTCTTCTCATAAAGAGGCCAAAAAATTATGACTCTATTTCTGATGTTTGCTAACCAATAACACATACATATAAGTGACATGCCAGGTGAATCATCATCATCATCACTGTCCTGTTGTGCTGTTATATGTCACATAGGGCTCGCAGTCTATTCCTCCACTCTGTTCTTCCCTGTGCAATCACTTAAATACCATGGATGGAATCCAGTTCAGCACCTTTGTCCTCTCTCATCAAAGTTCTTTTTTCCCATTCCAGTGCCTGTTTGGTGATTCTCTGCTCATTTCTTCTCAGGATGTGTCCAACAAAGTGCCATCCTGTCTGTCCTATAACAGTCGATACCAGTGGTTGCCCAGACATGTCTTATCTTTTGTTCACGACTCTACAAGGTCAATGGAATTACTATACATGTATATTAGAAGGCTGCCATGTTAGGTACTTCACTCAGATGCCCTGTAAAGAGAACAGTAAGGTAAGGATCATTTTCACAACAGTGGTGCATTGGTCATAGGGTGCAAGACCTGTATTCATTTAGACCAACTGTCTCTCGATTGGGTGTTGTGGTCAGTATCATGCCAGCTGCTTTTACTTCCCATCGTATTTTCCTGGTACAGACTATTACAGACTAGGTTGAACTGGGAACCAGGTTGAATTATTTTTTAAATCCATCTTCATTCAAATTTGAACCCAAGGTCAAGAGGCCGGCATCTAGCCTCTGTGCCACAGGAATTCCCCTGGCTGTTGTAAGGAGTTCAAACTAGGCAGCAGCATTTGCTTTAGCAAGGTGATGCCTACAGCATCTCATTCCCATCCCCCAGTCACTCTCTTCATCTCTCCCTCTACACATCCCCCCTAGCAGTAACTCTCTTCATCTCTCGCTCTAACTCATCTCTCCAACCCAGTCATTCTCTTCATCTCTCCCTCTTACTCATCCCCGCAGTCACTCTCTTTATCTCTCCCTCTCACATATCCCCCCCCTCTCCCTCTCACATATCCCCCCCCCCCCCCGGGACACTCTCTTCATCACTCCTCTCTCACTCATCCCCTCCCCCCCCCCCCAGCCACTCTCTTCATCTATGCCTCTCACTCACCCCCCCCCCCCCCAGCCACTCTCTTCATCTCTCCCTCTCACTCATCCCCCCCACCCCCACCCCCTAGGTTTGTACATGCGTACATACTGGGTCACAGTAGAAGTACTGACCTTGGAGACTTGGAGATTCTTCAGCTCTCAGGTTATTGATGGTGTGCCTTAGACTTTTCTAGGGGAATCTCTGTTCCGGTGACACCTCTCTCTCCCTCCCTCTCTCTCTCTCTCTCTTCCTCTCTCTCTCTCATACACATTCATAAACTAAGCTTGCCAGGTTAGAAGAATTCCTTTATACATCCATCTAAAGGTTCCTATGTTACAAACACCACTAAAGTGCCCTGTAAAGTGAGTATCTTACCCAAATATTCTGTGTCGTAATAGGAATACATGAGAGGAGCTTTTGTTCGGTGTTTTCTGACATAATCTTTACCAGACTGGACCATGGTGGCACAAATATCATTGATCACTGCATCATCCACCACCTATGCAGAAGTAAATAATAAAGTAAATGTCCCTTTACCACACCTTCAGACGTAATGGGTATATAGGGCTAGACCTATACTTTTATAGACCAAATGGCACTTGGTGGGTGATGTGGTCAGCATCATGCCGGCCGCCTTTACTTCCCAGGACTGCACCTGGTATCCACCAAGGCAGAAGTAAATAATACATTAACCATTTACTACTTATCTCTAACTATCCTGAGTGTAACCTGGCTAATCCTAAATTTATCAAAATCCACCATAGTGGATCCAGTAGTTTAGGCTTAACTAGAATTAAAATATATGGATTGCAAATCATTTAAGTCAGTGTTTCTCAAACGTTTCTTAGTCGCAGCGCCTTTTATCAATTAAAATGTTTCCACAGCGCCCTAACCTAAGTAAAAGTATGACTGTTCGTATGTAAGAGACAAAAAAAATAAAACTTGTGTATCTTCGAATATTTTGTGGTGCCCCTGTGAAGAGGTCGCGGCTCCCCGGCGCACAGATTTTGGGAATCACTGATTTAAGTGTTTAATTTAATTGGTTACTTTTCTACACAGGAAGAGGTGGTGGGGAGGAGGAGGGGGGGGACTATCTGTAATAAATTGGTATCTTCTTCCTCTTCTTCTTAGCATTCACCGGCTGTAATCTCCCATGGAAAATTCTGGTTATGTGACCACTTCTGGATTTTATTCTTGCTCAAGAACTTGAATTTTGCAGGCACATATATTTCACAGATCTGGCTTACTTGTATGCAGACTGTTGGTTCCTTGCCGCTCAGGCAGATGCCTGAGGATTAATCACCTTTTTATGATGGCCTGACAGGGAGGCAGTAGGACTGTTATTTTGCCTAAAAAAATTAGGACCCTGGATTCCACACGGGGAATAAACTGGTATGAAGACAAGAGCTTCAAATTATTATTATCAATTATAACGCACAATTTACTTGAAAAGCTTGAAAAGGTGTGGTTTTTTTTTGTTTAGAAGGAATAAAACATCAGCATATCTCAAGCTATTTAATAACTTAAAGTCAACAGAACTATCTTTATTACACAGAGTTTATCCTATATGGCTCAGTCTCTCTTAAAAATGGCTATCTGCATGCTTAGAGTGTCACACAATGCACAAACTCCATAGCTCCAATGATTATCCCTAGGAATCTCCGTTAAAAATTGCATTTATGAACTGAATGAAGCAGTCTGTGAAATGAAACCATTCATGACCTTTATAGCTTAACCACTTAGCGATGGAAACCAACAAAAAAAAGTTGTTTAAAAATGGTGTTTATCAAATGGTATTCCTTGTTTATCTCATTTGAAACAGACTACTATTTAATCAATAATTAAAATCACGTAAAATACAAACCTTTACACTTAATTTGTTTTTCAATGTAAGAGCCCCACAGACATAACCAGCTCGGCCCACAAACAGCTCATCGGACCCACAAGAAAGAAATCTAGGCTTCAAACACTCCTTGGCAACAGACCGAAATCGCTGAACATTTTCATTGACCAGTGCTTCGTTTTTTAAAGCACTCCCAAGAATAGCACCAAGAGCATATAAACCTGATGGGCCAAGAATGAATGACACTTCATCAGCTTTTGACGATCGGCTCTTTTCTAAGATCTTCAGATCACGATCAAATAAGGCTTTTGCCATTTGTAAATACTCTCTTTTGTTCTCATAAAAGGGCTCGAAGCTTGAAGCGTAACACAGCATGTAGGCAATTCCAGCGGTGCCCACGTACAGACCTCCATCAGAAGATGCTGTTTGCGCTGCTTCAGTGATCACCTTAATCAGAGCAATAATCTGTTCATGCCAGGTGCTTTTATTGATGTCAATCTCTTCACCAGCAGTGTAATCTGCCATTTTGTTGACAAAGAATCTTTTTCTTGGCATGTTGTTATCAGGATGTACAATTGGTAGTAAAGACTCAAACCTCGTCTCTAAGCCTGTAAAGAAAAATATAACTGCTTACATTTTACATAATAACAGTTACAGCTGTTAAAAGCAAAGCTAGCAAACCTGTATATTTACTACTTACAACAAAAGAAAAAAGTATGTGAAAATCTTTTTACATACCACCACCCCCCCCCCCCCCCCCCCACTCCCACCCCCCGTGCGTGCACGCACACACACACACACACAAACACACACAAGAGGTTTTTACTCTGATGTTCTGTGTATATCACTGGATATGCCTGCTCCAGGAATTACGTACAAAATGCAATACTGACATTTGTTCTCTGTTAATGTGAAGCCAGGCTAAATAAGGAACTGGTCTGTCATTTGCAAAACTAAGTCTGGAACAAAGGAACAAAACATGTTTGTGGTCTATATATAATGGCTAATGTAGAATTTGTTTTCATTATGGCATTCGGTTTTAGCAGCTCAGAGATGGGGGATGAGGTAGGGCTGAAATTAGAATAGGAATGCTAAATGCAAACAACAACAAACTCCTTGCTGGTTAAGAAATGTCTTAAAATTCTAGCAATACTTCTTCTTCTTCTGCGTTCATCCGAAGATGTAATTGCGTTGTGTCCGTTTACAGCATGGCTGCGATATTTGCACCTTTTGGCCAAAACATCCAACTTCTGCGGGTATTTGTTGACCGGGTTAGCCTTCCCGGTTAGGACATGGCAGTCTCATTGTTGTGTGGTCATCTTTATTTCCCAGGTCACAGGTGGTGCCCCAATAAGGCTGGTCCAGAGAAGCCACATAATGCTGATCAGCCCTCAAGAGAAGGCAGGGGCAGAATATGAGCATTCCACGCCATCCAAGGAGGCTTCCACAAATGAGAGCTAATACATGGTGCTCTGGTACTGGGCTCACCCAAGGAATTGTCATGTCCTGCTCATGACTGTTTAACCTCACATCCATATATTGAACATCTCATACATCATGGGCTATCTCTTTTGTAGCCAACAGTATGCAGCCTGCAGACCTAGGATTTAATTTACCTACACCACAAAATGAGTACTTTGCTTCTTTTGCATGTTAGACTTTTACTGCAGTGGACTTCCTCATCCACTATAGTTTTACATGGTTTATGAGCTCTGCATCTCTAGGGACTATCAGCTTCCTCATCCACTATAGTTTTACGTTATTTATGAGCTCTGCATCTCTAGGGACTATCAGCTCAGAGAATCCCAGAGTTTTATTCTTCTTATACCTTCAGATGTCAGTGTGGATATATTTGAAGAAATCAGCAGTCAACTTGAGGTTGTTGACATCTCCACACAGTTTATCCTCAAAAGTTGCGTGTGTTAGCCAGAATAATTTTCTTTGTTCTGCAAATATTGGACACTCTTGCAGAGTGTTTAGCCATCATTTTACCCTTTCCCCAGTTACAATCATCATTGTCTCCTATCTTTAGTTTATTGAACAAGTGGTGCTTCAGCCAATTATGTCCTGTGCGGAGTCTAAAGATCACTACTTGTTCTCTTCGGCCAAGTTGGTAGTATGCATCATCCTTCTTGTAGCCTGGATGTTCAGAATCCCATTTGATTCTATATGTGCTTCTTATAAACCTCTTGGCCTCATCATATGTTATGTCTAGCAATACTACAAGCAGACAACTTATATCAGATATATTAATGTATTTCCTCAAGTATAAGATGCACTCAAACATATAGGATCATAAACAGTAAGTCTTAAACAGTGGTTGCAAATTAGGAAAGTGAAGATTGAGATCATTGTCAAGGCATTCAAGAAGTTGGCATTTCAAATGCCCCAGATGGAACTGAGGATGAGGCAAAACATGAAGACAGTGAGTTGTCATCAGACACAGATGTGGACAAGCTAAAGAACCATCAAATGGATAAGATTTTTTATAGTAATGAGTTTTATGGACTGTGATAAATAAAATGTGAGTGCAATAACTTTATGTTAAGTGAAATGTTTGTTTTTGGGACATGTTTGGTCCCAAAATCAAGGTGGGTCTTATTCATGTGATCATCTTATACTCAGGCAAATGTGGTACACTTAATGGTAAAAGTAACGTTAGTCTCCCCACGGTTTGGTAGTTCCTGGGCCCCGTGTCCTTCCATAAGGTTTTGTTGGGGGGGGGGGGGGGGGGGTGTTTCGTGATACTGTTGATATTGCATGTTACATATTTGAGCACACCAGCGCTTTTAACGCTCCAAAAACATGGACCAACTGGTCCTAACATAACCCCCGTAGAGAGTGCTGCAACCTATGTCACAGGCATTATCGTTCTCACAATGAAAATGTAAATGCAAGACACCACAGAAAGCAAACAACAGAGTGGGACACATCCGTAACCTTCAGGAAAGTCGACCAGCCCAACAAACTTGTGAATGACAAGTTACCTACTTTGTGGAGATTCATGTGAACCTAACCCACTTAATTTTTGTTAGTATGCTATTGTGTGACAAAACAATATGACGAGCTACTGGTTTCGATTTTTACATATATACTTTTAGTGATCCTCATGAACCAGGTGGTCGGAAGCACTGGTTAAATAAGTAAATGATTAAGTATTTTCCTAACACTGTTACTGTTGCTAGCAGAAGGGACACTAAAGAGCATTCTGGGATATCTGACCCGAAGTGCAACGCAGAAGGCAGAGATCTGCAACCATGAATTTAAGCTGAGACAAAGAGAAAGTTTAGTCTTTTGCACCATCTAACCATAATCAGATCTTATAAGAAAATGAGTGAGGCCTAACCTGATCTGCAAGCTTTGTGTAGTACTGAGAGCTTATTACTAAAGCCAGGTTCAATACTGGAGTTATAATTGTTGGTTGCCATTTTTTTTGCCTTGTATTTTCCACAATTGTCTGTTGAATAGTATTACTTGTTGGCTCATATTTTACGGCTCTCCTTTGAATAACGGTCCCAAATGATCTAAGCAGAAAGTGAACCCAAACAGAGCCTCATTACGTCCTGCCCTACAAACATTTAAAAGGTGTAGCTCGGAAAAAATTAGGAATGAAAAGTGTAAGGAAAAGGGCAAAGTCTACTACTTACCGAAAATTAAATCTTTTATATGTGAAAATTGTAGCACAGAAGTTGCAAATAGTGCGCGAATATCTGATCTCTCTCAATGTCCACCATTGTAACTCAGCACGGCTTGTCCGCAATTCTCGTTACGGGCGAGACATGATCTAAATGCGCGGTTTAATGTACGCACATGTTGCCTCGGGACAACTTCAAACCAGCAGCCGCCATGATGGCACTCCACTATCCCGACCACCACTTGACCGTGGCGAATGCGAGCACGTTGGTACTTCCGACAGAAGAAGTAGCTCCTGTAAATTCTTCTTTTGTCAAAATCTGCTTGTGCCGCTAGGCGTCGCAGTCTATCAGATGATCGGCAACCGAGCCAGGGCGCGCTCAGTCGCTTCATATGCTGTGATGTTATGAAGTCTCAAGTTGTCCGTGACTCCTTCAATCCATCTTCTTCTTGGTCTTCCCCTGCCTCTTGGTGTTTGCTGTAAATTGTAGACTGTTTTTCCGGCGACTATAGTGCCACCTTCGAGAGTATCCCCCGCGCCGCTACGCGCGGCATGGAAGGGGCTAAACTAGATGGCTGGGACTCACGAGCAAATACATTGGAGGAAGCTGCAGGAGCTGCGGTAGCTGCTGCTCATGAGTCCTAGCCACCTAGTTTAGCCCCGGGGGATACTCTCAGAGGTCGACGAAAAGCGGTTCACAACTTACATATAACTCTGGCCCTGCCGTAGGATAGTGCTATCAGGAGTACTCTCGCGTGTCGCTAATTTTTTCTCCTGTAGTTAATCCTAGTTTTGCCAATCGTTTAATCGCCGTAAAAAAATCCGTTGAGTTTCGCGAAAATGTCGTGCGCAAGTAATCCTACTTTTGACACAGTTGATTCGCCGCAAAAGAAATGAGAATTTTAGATATGAGTGAGGCTCTGTTTGGGTTTATTTTCTGCATAGATCATTTGGGACCGTTATTCAAAGGAAAGCCTATTTTACTAAACCATGAAGGTTCATCATTTGTTGCTTTGAAGAGGTACTGATATATATATATGCTTTCAGTGTAGTTTGTATGTACCTGGTGAGTCGGTCAATAAAAGAAGTAGCTGTGTTTTGAGTTATCTGCCAAGTGATTTAATTAGCAGGTCATTGTTGTTGTCTGAGCATTATTGTAGTCCCTGTGTATATAGTGGAGTATTCTACCTACCACTGCTTGGGCTTCAGATACCTGCTGCTGTCTCTATCCAGCCGGTCATCTTTTCTTTCCTCCCTTCCCTGTCTTGAAGTCAGATTCAAAAGGTCATCTTTTTTATTTACCCTTATCCTCTTCTCTTATTCTTTTTTATCTCTTCTCAATTAATTCAATTATTCTTAATGTTTCCCTCCTATCTCTACTTCTTTCTTCTGCATGAGTGCCAATCAACACATATATTACAATTTGTTTCTTTATTATACTCGCTTCAGTGGCGTTGTTAAAGTAAGGGTTCCCCGGTGATTTGTATCTTAGATCTATGTAGTAAATTTTACACAATCACACTGTCACTAGGCGCAGACGAGCAGACTATGAGCCTAGCAGTAGAGAAAGGCACAGATTGATGGAGACAGATATGGCGTGTGAGCCTAACAAAATATTCAGCATCAAGCAGTCTGCTGAGTCAGTGCATTCCTGATTTGTATCCATCTATCTGTGTGGTTTCCATTTTAGATCAGAAGAGAATAAATTGACAGGGCAACAACATACTAACTACGCACAACACTGCTAACCAGTTTAACAAGTTAAAGTAAAGAATGCACCATTCCTTTCTTCGTTTGCCCCATGGCCTATTTTATCGAGATGTGCAATTTCTGTTTGAGTGGTTCACAATATATGAACACATGTAATGTTTACCTGTAAGTTACTACGCAGATTTCACTAAAACGTTGATCATCCAACTGC